TTTTCGTTGAAGAATATGTAATTCAGTTTACTTTAATGCAATTCATTTTAGCTGTGTATGAATCCTATTTAAGTCAGTGTATTCATTTTTTAATCTTTGCTAAATAATTTTAAATAAAAAATTAATATGAAATTATATTATCCCCTTGAAGCATGACATTTATCCAGACAATGTTTAAAAATTCATTTTGCATTGTACAGAAAACTTTCTATGTCTCCATTACAAAGAAGAGTTGGTTAATACTGTTAAGGGAAGTAATCACCTTTTATTCTAGGAATAATATTAAACTTATAAATCCACAAAATTTGTAGAATGCAGGTTTTTATGTTAAAGTCGGTGGTTTAAAGAGTTGACGTGAAGTTCATGTAAGTTGATACTGTGTAAGCCAGGTGATGTCTGCCAGCTGAAGTAACTCAGTCTCCTCCTGTTCCAATTTTTACTCTTATATAACAAAATATAGAAGTTGGATCCCCTAAATGGTAGGACTTTCGAATATAGGTTTTATTATACCACTCCTGTATGCTGAAACTTCATTCTGTAGGTATGATTATGTGAACTGGCGTTTATGAATAATAAATGCCAGCCCACACGAGTTTGTTACTGCACAGAGTTACAGATAGAATATATCGTATAATGTGTCTTTGATCTATATTTCACGAAGTGGGGAAAACACAAATTGATTCCTGCTGCCTTTGAGAATATCAGCTTTCTTGTGACGTTAACAAGTATATTTTTCTGCTTAATGTTTAATTAACATATGGATTGTTTCTGTTGTTATAGGCCTATGTCCTTTTGTCTCATGGCTAATGACAGTGTTGCAAAGTTATGGAATGATTATGCTATTACTTTAAATTGTGGGTCACGCGGTAGCTTAGTTGGTTGAGGCACAGTGCTACAAGCCACAGGTTTGGGGGTTTGAGGTGGATTTTTTCAATTTATCTAATCCCTCCAGCCACACTGTGGCCCTGGGGTCAACTCAGCCTCTAAAAGAAATGAGTACCAGGAATCTTCCTGGTGGATAAAGGGTGCCCAGTATGTAAGACTGACAACCTTACCAACATCTGTGAGCCAGTTGCCTAGAGAAAATGTGGGAGCCTCGACGTCTCACGACCCTATGGGCATTCATGGCCTGTTACAGGGGTAGTTAACTGATGTGAAGGAGGTTTTAATGTCCATAAAATTCAGCATATAGGAAATAACAGCAGATGAAATACCATTGTTATAAAACAAAGTAGAAGATTATAGCTTGTTTCTACATTTTAGTAGCATGGTGATGGCATCTTGTAGAAGTTATCTGTAATACCTCCACCTTCAGAGTAGAAGATAAGCGAAGTGTAAAAGTGACATTTCGTAGAAAGGGAGGTAAGATAGGTCTCTATCTATGCACACAGCCCTGCTTGGCTTGCTCCTCTACTCTGAAGATGGATGCAGCATGTACCCCTGAAACACTGGCAGCATAGCTCACTTTCACAGGGCATCATACCCTAAACCATGATGAGCATCACAATTTAAATCGTGTGTTACTGCATTGATTTTTTGCAGTATTAATGCGGTCTGTCTGTACTTCGTGTACTGCTGTAAAACAAGTACTGTGTCCAGTAATGCATGATAAGTTAATGACAAATGATGAGTGCCTTGATTTCCCAGGGTCTGTAAATATGCAGATCTAGAAGGAAAAATTCAATTCCCATAGCAATTAAAAAGTTATTGGAAGAAGTTAGGCATGTAGTTTCCATTATAGGAATTCGGTATTTCCAGAAGAGTAATAAGAATTGTTAGACTGGTTCGCCTCCCCGTCCAAAATGAGCCTAAAATTACAATAATTACATTTAATTTGTTGCATAGACATGTCAATGGGTGCCCTATGTTCAATTATAGAATTTTAATTTACAAATTAGGTTCTACTTTGTTGTGCTCTGTGACTTCAAAGGACTCCCAAATTAATAAGCTTCAGTGATACCTGGATCACATACTTAGAACTCTTCAATTATTTATCTTGTAATAGTGCTGAATGGAAGTAGTATGGGCAGTATGAGGAGTGGTAGGTAAATACACGTAAAATTGATCCATGTATTGACAGTTGAATGTAATTTATGCTATGGAATGACCTGCTAAGTGGGTGTGTGTGTGTGTCTTATTGGCGTAGCAGTCCAATCAACCTTGCTTGTTATTACCCACAGTATAGGTAAAAATAAAAGGTAAATTTGTCACTGTGCTTAACTAATTAAGCAGTATGCCATGAAGGTGTAGGGGGAGTGGATGTATACACCCATGTTTTCTTGACCTTGGCACTAGTTGAAGGTGAATGGTCAGCTTCACATCCCAGTTGCTTTACCCAGGGGAAAGTTCCTGATGCACATTGGATAGGAGGCTGAATGGGCTTCAGACCTGGTGTGAATGACTTGGAAAACAGAAAATTCTTTACACCACCAGAACTTGGTCTTCCAGCCCGTAGCCAGTCACCATACTGACTGCACTGCCTGCCGCATATGACTTTCTATTTATCACCAGGAAGTTTTTGATTTATTCACAAATGAATTATCCACTTAACATGTGCAAATTGAATTAACGCTAGATAGTACCGAAATTTAATTCCTGCAGTCTTCTTCTTTTTCCCCCTCTCTCCTCTTGTTGCTCTTCCCTGTAGTTTAACTATTTTATTGAGTCATGAGAAAGGTATAGAAGGGATAGACCGCCATAAGAGGAGGGTGGTGGCATGTAATTAGGTCAGAGTGGTAAATATATTTTGTTCGCAATACATGTGGTGGTTGTGTGAATCATTACATTACATTACATTACATTACATTACATTGCATGGAACCAGAGTTAGTCAAAATGACTCTAGGATGTGGAATATGTCATATAAATACAGAACATGTACAGTCCCAATGGAGTTCTCACACAAGAGAAACCAAGTATACACAGTCACTACACACAAGGCTATTTAAAGATACATGAGTTATTTTCTAGACAATAGGTATTCATCAACAGAGTAGAATGAATGTGTATTTAAGTATTGCTTCAGTGCTATTTTAAATCATGTCTTTTCATTCATAAGACCTTTGAGATCAGGTGGCAGGTTATTAAAAATTTTGATCCCGGCATAATATGCGCTTTTCTGAAAATATGAGATATTAGCAATTGGTTTATGTAGACCATGTTTGTANGAGGATATAAGTGACCAGAAGACGAGGGAGAAGTCGTAAGAAGATGCTGGATGACCTTGGGGACAGAAGAGGATATTCTCATTTGAAGAAGAAAGCCGCATTAAGTGGAGGAACTGTTTTGGAAGAGACTGTGGACCTGTCGTCTGACAGATCACTGATGAATGAATGAATGATTCTAACAATTTTCTTTTGAAATGTAAATACCTTTTTACTGTCAGATGAAGTACCCCAGAAATTTATTCCATACTTCATTAAAGAGTGGAAGTAAGCAAAATAGATTGATTTGAGAGTGTCAATGTTAATTTTAACATTATTAACAAAATTTCAATTTCCCCAGATAATCAAACTAACCTTGAGGATTACATTGACACTTGAACATGTAGAATTGTATGGCTAAGAAAGGTTAACTTGATAACAGTATGTCTGAATTGTTTACAGTAGGTACCTGGTTCAAATCTAAACCATGGTATAATCTTCCTTGTTTGCCTGTTTGAAATTGTTATGGCCTTCATGATGCTGTCGTGCCAGTCACATAAAGGAACATTTTTGGAACTTTGTCAATTTACATACTCCTTGATCTCAGAGTGAGACTTCATGAACTTCTTTTCAGTGGCAACATAATTTTTATCTTAGACTATGTTCTTATATATTATAAGCAATTCAAGGTACTTTTTATGACAAACTATTCTCTGCATGGAAAAATATGTACAAAAGAAATTAGTCGAGGCATTCTCTTAGGTCCCCTCAATCTGTGTTTTACAATATATGAAATATAACTTACGTACCCTTTTATGAGGCTCTCTGTACCCGAAGTTCAGAACATATTAGTGAGTAGGCATGGGGTTTTTATTGATTGGATTATTGAATGCTTACATCTTGTAACTATAAATAACAATAACAGTATCACTGATTTATGTTCCCTAGATCACAACTACAGCACATATAAAGTCTTCTGTTGTTTATTCTGTCATCACTAGTCGTTGCTGGATAATGGCTGCTAACAGTGCAACTAAAACCTGCACGCTAACCTCTGACTCCAATGTCCAACTGACTGGGTTGTCCATTTGGTCTTCAATATATAAGCGCATCATGGACTGCATAGAAAACACAGCATCCTCTGTTGTGTCAGTATCTGTTGCTGCAGGGATGTGTGTACTATGCCATTGCCTTGCACAACTGCATCTGTTCTTTCCATTCAGTTTTCAGCCATCATGTCATAATATGAATGAGATACGAAATTTATGAACTTTGATCCTTTACCTTGTTAATCGCAAGTATATTAACTAAAGTCCATATAGTGAATGTATTCAGTTAAGCTGGGTGCTTTAGCTGCTCCTGTAGGATGTGTTAGATGGTTAATGAAGTAGTTAAGGTCACTTTCAGTATGTTTGGCTATGTGTCTGTGTTTCTGGGTGGGAAGGTACAGTTTAAACTCTCTCATCAACCAGTGAAAATGAGTGAATTTATATAATGAAATTGTTAAACAGTTCTTAGGTTAAGGGAGAAACTGCAAAACTTCCAGTGCTCAGTTGTGACAAAAACATTTGAACTTGTGTCTTACTTATTTTAGAAGCCAGGTATTCTTCAAAACAGAAACTTTGATTGATAAACATCAATTCCTCACCAACTCTTGAGAGTTATGGGAAGGGAGAATGATTTCCACAAATCTAATTGAGTAAACATTTGTTAAAGGGTTAGGGTGGAGGCTGGACAGATAACCATGCAGACACAAGCAGAATGTTAAGAATAATACATCAAAACTTTACTCCATTTGTTGGTCAACTATTTATGTTGCATTTATGATGATAAACTAAATCTACATGAAAGTAATTGCTTCTCCTTCCTCATTCACTGTATACTTTATGTAGCACTTGGTAGAACGAATAAGTGGCCCTTAGCACCTGAAAACAAACAGATGTAATTTGAATTGAGGCTGAGATTTTCATGTCAGTGAAGATGCATATTGCAGTTTTCTGGGTTATGACATCATGTAGTCTGTGAGTTGGGTGCCACTGTTTTGGAGGAATATACCATTCCTGTCTGCAGGGTAGAATTGAAGATGGAGGCATCATGTTCCTCTGAAGTGTTAGCACCCACCTACCATGCTACACTATGTAGTAACCCAGAAAACCACAAGTTGGACTGCTTTTGTGAGTCATATGGCAGTGAATGTAACATTGGCATATGATGCTTGTGTCTTCGGCATGTCCCATTTTGTTTTACATATTTGTGTGCAGTTCTTAGCAACATCACTTATCCTGCTTTTTACCGCAGTTGCCAGATTTCTTAATTCTGCTGTNAGATGGCTAAAATGTTGTTTCATTCACGAATTTTGGAAGTCATTTCCAAGGTTGAGTGAAACCATGAGAGACCAAAAAAAGACCCTGAATAAATTTTTATTGTGTCATTTCCTTTAGAGCTTTAAGCCCCTAAATTTGTTGTGGAACTATGGACAGCACAGGAACTGTTATGTTGCTTTGAGGGGGGGGCTAAGATTAATGTCTTGGGATGTGATGCTCTGTAAGCTGGTAAAATGCATTGACATTCCAGAGGAACCTGTTGCTTTCATCAGGATACTAGGAAGATATAGGCAGCAGGTTTCTCTGAAACATCTGTACCATTCTACTGTACTCTGTACTGCACAGTACAGTCAGTATTGTTATGGTAATTGTGAGATTCGAGGTACTTAGTGGTGGTGAATATGAAGATTACTACTGTCTTTTGGAATGTGCAACCCAGAGGGGATAAGTTAAGCAAAAAGTCCCTTGCATTCGTATTCTACTTCACTATCCTCTTATGCTTATTGACCTATTTTAGCGGCCTCTGTAGTCTAGGGGTAACATTCCCGCCTCATGACTCAAGGTACGCGGGTTCAAACCCAGCGGAGGTCGTGGAATTTTTAAGGGCGGAAAAATTCAGGGAACAAGTCCTCCAGGAGGGACTTTAAGCCGTGGGTCCCGTGTCATAGCTTTTTGGCACGTAAAAGAACCTCATGTCTCAAGGAGGCCTCTGAGCCAAATTATAAGGACATTTCCTGCCCAAAAATAGTCTCTGACGCCTCTGGTAGATGGGGGAAGCATCTAGATACCGCTGAGCCAGTAGAGGCCGAACTCGCTGGCTAAGTTGGGACTGATGGCATGCACCAATACAGGTAGGGTATAGAGACTGGTAGAATATCACAGGGGGATGTACAATAGACCACTGGTCGCGGTGCATGGGGATACCCACCCCCTCCAATAATAATAATAATAATATTGACCTATTTTAGTGTTTGTTATTTATGAAGAAAGGTATTTTTAAGGTTATTTAATAATGATGTTAGTATTGAGACTCGTTAGTGGTGATGACAGGATTATTAATCAACATGGAGCAGTTCGTGCAATGAAAATTGGAAGAGAAAATCACAGTACTAGCAGAAAACATGTCTGAATGGAAGATGTTGGTATGACATCTGAAAGAATTTTGCCAGGAATAAAACCTTACAGATACCAAATGAATTTCATATATATCTTCCTAAGGGAATGAAAACTCTTTTCCAAAAAAATACAGTGTATTAATAGAGGACCAGTGACCTGTCTTAAATAAATCCTTTATTACTGCTCTAGGCTGCAGATAATTGTATACATGTGTTTATGAGATTTTGAAGTTTGTGAATTGATATTTTCATGTGAAGGATTTTTACAAGTTCATATTTCTTTGATTTAAGGGTGAAGAAATTGTTTTTCCTTCATTACAGAGTCAGGGTATGAACACAGTTACTCTCATGAATTTGTGATATGTGACATGTTTTATATCCAGTCCTACGGGGAGATGATTGGATCAGTGAAGTGAAAAATAAATGTAAATCGTTAAAACCTTCTTGTTCCAAATCATATAAATTAATTCAGTCCTACAACTAGAAATCACCAGTGTGTAGCATCTGGGGCTTGTAGTCCAGAGTTTTAGCCCATAGCTGTATTATATTATGAAATGTGTACTTGGTATCTCATTAAGAAGGTAAGACCATTTACCGATGTGAATGTTTGTAGATCAACATTGAAGAATTTCCATGCAGTGAGCCTGACAGGTTTCTGAGCCCTGCACATAATTGTTACAAGGGACCTCTTGAAGCTCTGGGGAGCATCTAACCAGTCACAGTCATAGGCAGCTTGTGCCAATTCCAAACTCTGTAAAGTGAAAATTATGAAATACTTTTAACATTTTTAACCGACCTTTGAAGGAACTTGCTGTAATACATTGCTACCAGGCAGCATAACATTATGAACAGAGCCGTACCTGAAGATTACTGTCTTCTGGGATATGATGCCATATAGTTTGGTAGACAGGTACTAGTATTTTGGAGAAACTGCAGCCTCTGTCTAGAGAAGAGTAGTCTTTGTGTACTGAAGCTGGAATGATGTCACTTCCCAGAAGGCAGTAATCTTCATTGTAACCATTGTGAGCACCTCATGTGACCACATGTCTATAGACACCAGACTGTACAGTGTTATAACCTGGAAGACTACAGCACTGTAAAAAACTTGCATTTCATATAACCATGTCCCGGTGCTTGGAACCATAAAATTATGCTATGAGCCACTCTATTCTCAGTGGAAACTGTGATGGCTAGTTGGTGTAGTGACTGGACTCTCCTTGGGAAGCTATGCACCGATACCAGCGCCTAGTCCACCCTTCAAAACAATTTTGGAACTGGTTTTGTAGAGTGGCCTTCAGAGCTGCTGTTGTATTACTCCTGATGTCATCAAAAATGCCTTCCTTTCAATATTTCCATTATCTTCAGGAACAGAGAAAAGTCATTGGGGGCTAGATCCAGTGAACAGGGAGGGCGTTCCAGCACAGTTATTTGTTTACTATCAAAAAGCTCCCTCACAGACACTGTTCTTTGGTGAGCTTCTTTGGGACCACTTTTGCACACAGCTCATGTCAAGATCTTCAGTTAAGATTTTCCTCACTGTTTCTCTGTCGATGTTTGCTTGCTCTGCTATGCCCCTGACAGTCAGCCATTGATTTTTAGGCACAATTTGAGAACTTTTGCAATGTTTTCTTCAGTTCTGCTCATTGCTGGCCGTCCTGATCTCTCTTTGTTAGTGACACATTCTCTTCCCTCAGAAAAACGTTTTACCAACTTTTAAAGAGTCTGCCATAGATCAACAACAACACACCTGTGAAACACTGATATTCCAATGTCATCAAACCATACTGAGGTTTCTGTCCACTTATGCCATGGCAAGCACACAGTGGCAAGTTCGCGAAGTTTATTGTCAGACCATGTACATTTCTTACCTGCAGTACTACATCTTGAAGCCATCCTGTAGCTCATGTGGTTTGGTGTAGGCTTCCCACCATGAAGGCCCAGATTCAGTCCTGAGTGATTTCATATGAGAGCCATAGTGAACAAAGTGGCACTGAGCAAGTTTTCTCCAAGGTTCTTTGTTTTCCCCTGCTAATCATTCCACCATTGTCCTGTTCTCATCTACCACTGCAGCGTGAGGTGTCATCATCATCAGTAATCTGTCAGACGACAGGTCCACATTCTCTTCCAAAACAGTTCCTCCACTTAATGCGATCTAGAGCTTTGTCCTTCAAATGACAGTATCCTCTTCTGTCCCCAAGGTCATCCAGCATCTTCTTACGTCTTCTTCCTCGTCTTCTTGTCACTTCTATCCGCCCCTCTATCTTTCCTTCAATAACTTCTTTTAGAAGGCAGTTTCTGCGTAAAACATGACCAATCCAATTAGCCTTCCGTTTTCTTTTTTTCGTGTAGGATATTCCTCTGCTCACTGACTCTAATTAATACTTCTTCATTTCTCACATAATCGATCCAACTGATCTCCATCCTTCTCCAACACCACATTTCGAAAGTGTACAGTAGCACATTATCAAATACTAGTCTTTATGCATGAGGCCTCACCTCTAACCAGCATTTGGCTGGTTACAGAATAAAGAAGTTTTAATACCGCATCTCATTTGATGTTATCAAACATCTGCACATGGTGTGACATTGTTAAGTGAAATAAGAAATTATGTACCTGAAGAGTGAGCTCATTCCCATACCAGCACGGAAGTAAAAGCAGTGATAGGACACATATGATGAACAGCAGTATGGTAAGAAATGTGGTGCTCGCTACTGGGACCTGTGTAGAAAGAAATTGTTGGAATAATAAACATAATATATTTAGATCCGGGGATACACAGTAGCATAGTTGGTTGAGGCACTATGCCACAAACCAGAAGGTCATGGGTTCAAGTCCTGATGAGGTGGATTTTTTTCAATTTACCTAATCCTTCCAGCCGCACTAAGGCCCTGGGGTTGACTCAGTCTGTAAGAGAAATGAGTTCCAGGAATCTTCCTGGGGTGTAAAGGGCGGACGGCACATAAGGCTGACAACCATACTGCCACCTGTGAGCCGATTGTCTAGAAAATGCAGGAGCCACGACCTCTCACTATCCTGTGGGCCTTCATGGCATGTTACAGGGATAACTTTACCTTTTTTTAATATATTTAGGTCAGGACATTTCCACGTTGAAACCCTCTTTGTACATAAACCCAACCGAGGTGACTGTTTGTGTGATGAGAAGTGAAACCATTCATTCATCAGAGTCTTGTGATCTCACAATTCATGTTATTAGTCATAGGTTTTAGTGATTTCACAGGCTAGATAACCTTTGGCATAGTAGCTAGAAGAAAGTAGTAGTTACCCAGCTAGTCAGATTCCCTGGTCTATAACATAACACAAAGTTTCATTACCACCTTCACAGGACCCAGTCACTGGTTCCTAACATGAACATGAATCCACTCAACATCATCATATACTAAAATCCTCTTAGTTACACGTAGGTCTCATGAGTGGTCTCTTCCATTCAGGTTTTCTGATCAAAATCTTATATGCATTTCCCATCAGCCCCTATGTTCTACCAGCATGTGCCTAATTCATATCATCCTTATTGTGGTCAGTTTAATAATATATAGCAAAAAGTACAAGTTACAGAGTTCCTCATTATGCAGATTTCAGAAGCCTCCTATTACTTCCACTGTCTTATATTCAGAGAATTTCCTCTCCATCATTTGCTCAAACATCTTCAGCCTGTAGTTTTCTTAATAATGGAGAGACCAAGTTTAACACCCATAAAAAACAGCAAGTAAATTATGTAAGATTTGAGGTTAAACACTGAAGATATAGGTGGTATAGTCTTCTGAAACATTGGTTGACTTACAACAGACCACACAGTATTAAATTATAGTTTATGTTTTTATCATGTATCTCATAATATGAAGTTGTCAGGCTCATGTTAGTACTTCTGAGCAGCTGGATTTCACTTTGGTTACTTACCCCTGTCGTGGCAAGTACATTCGTGCACAAAAATGTTACATGAATTGATATTTGAAATAGCATGAATGGACTGGCTTCAGTTTGCAGTTGAGAAACAAACCTGCAACGGAGAGATTTTACATTGTTACATGTTGCTGTGCAGTGTAAATACTGACAGAAGTGCAGGGCTAGGTGACTTAACTACTCTTTGAATGTTTTGCAGTGAGATAGGTAATGACACGCACAGTTGCATTGCCCACCTTTGAATGTTTTTCACTTCAGTTGCTGCAGATCTAGATTGTTAGATGTCGAAACACTAAGATGCGGGGATTTTTCTGTCGACACCCATGTTATTTTGAAATTTCTACATATTCTCTTACACATTTTTTAGATTTGGTGGTGACTACTAAGACTTCAGTCTTCTGGGATGTGACACAGTGTAGTATGTGAAGGCACCAGTGTTCCAGAGGAATCCACTGCCTCCATCCTCAGGTTTTATGTACTCAAAAAAAAAATGGGTGCAGCAAGTTTGCTTGAAACATTGGTAACCATATTCTGGACAACACAGGATCACATCCCAGAAGACCACTGCTGAGTGTTTTGGTTTCCACGCATTTCCTAGAGCATTCTCAGATGCCTTTGTTGTAAATAAAGTTCTACTTTTTTTTTATATTTGGAATGATGATGTATTTTTGTGAGTACAAGAGTGCAACAATCATTCCGTGCATTTCAAGTCTAATTACTTTCTCATCACTAGTTGAGGCTTGCATATTAAACAAAGCAGGCATATTTTTATACATTGTACAACAATTTTGTCTAAAGTATTAGAATTTCTACTTCCTATACACTTACTGCAGCAGCACTTGGTGGAACTTCACACATTCTGACAGCCTCTTTAAGACTTCCGAGTGTAGTTCTGTCTCATGATTACCTTCATCATTATGCATTAACCCTTCAGTTGTCTTGTCTTTATCTGTGTCTATGAGCCTGAGTATTGACAGTTCTGATAGTGATAATTTCCCATCAGTGGCTTGAGATTTCTTGGTTCTCTCCTGTTGTTTCTGTTCATTTCTCTTGATTGCTTCTTCCTTAATGTTGGCAATCATGAGTTGAAGGAAACGAAACTGACACGTTACCTTTATTACCATTGATACAATGAAGTCACAGTTAACTGAAGCATTTGTAGACATTGTCATCATACTGATCGCCAGTAGGAAATAGGCCGTCCAGTAGCCTGAAGTCTGAGATACATCAAATGGAAAAGCTGCCTGATAAGGTAGTGGATAAGTCATGGTGCCATTGGTATAGGAAGTGAAAGGGATAACTGCATAAGACATTGCAGTAGATAAAGCAGATCCAATGAAAACCTTGGTGACAAAAGAAGCAGATTTCATGGCCTCATCAAACAGATGTTGTTGTGTTGAATCTGTTGGTATAATAAAATGTTGATCCATTGCATCAAGGAGTGCTAGAAACTTGTTTATTCTGATAGGTATGTACAACATGCCGAAGATTGTGTTGCAGTGAGCTGTTAGTACTACCCCAGTCCCAAATGGATCTGGCAAGTTGCCCCATTTATCAAAAACGTGGTACAGGACAGCAGGAAGTGTAATGAGTTTTATGCCTAACATTGAGTAAAACACAATTTTGAAAATAATTTTTTTCCAGAGCGCAGTTTGTTCAGTACATGGCCATATGCCCAACACCCTTGAAATCTTCAGCTGTGTATGCATGTAAAACTCAGAGATACTGAGATCCATGGTGGTCTGGAGATCGACTGATGATGAGATTCTCACTGAATGTTTTGTAACAGTTCTTTCAGTGGAGATGTTACTGGTATCTAATATACAGTTTTCAAGTAACAGAGACGCTGACACTATTTCATTACTTCCTGTCTCCTTGTACTCAGTACAGGTGTTTCATGTTTCATTTGGTGGCAAATGTGCACATTTCATGTCCCCATTTGTCTTAAACACCTGTATCTGTTGTACAGTTTCCCATAGTGAATAGTCATTTTCATATTAAACCAATTAGTTATCCCTCTGTAGTGTTCATATTGACCCAAACAGTTGGGTTGTGTCAATTATGTAACATGTGTTAGACAATTTGTATAGTTTTGAAGTAAATTATACCTGCAATTATATGTGCTAGTGAAAGGAAAATGTGGGCAGATAGTTAAGATGGATAATTCAAGTTTTGGATATGATAAGACAGCCTTCATGACTATTGATTATAGAAGTATGGGAATGTACATGTTATATTCAATCTGTTGTATATCTTGAAACTGTAAGAACTCTAGAAAAATGTACTGAACATAAAATATGTGTTTCATTTTCCTCTACATCTTCTGTACCCTGCCCACCTCATCCTCCTTGACTTGATCATTCTTATTATACTTGGATAAGAGTACAAGTTATGAAGCTCCTAATTATGCAGTTTTCTGCACCCTTCTGTCACTTCATCTCTCTTCAGTCCAAATATTCCCTTCAACACCCTGTTCTCAAACATCCTCAGTCTATGTTCCTCCCTTAATGTCAGAGACCAAGTTTCACACCCATACAGAACCACAGGCAAAATTAGAGTTTGTCTATTCTAATTTTTATGTTTTTGGACAGCAGACGAGAAGACAAAAGGTTCTGGACTGAATGGTAGCAGGCATTACCCAAGTTCACTCTCCTCTTAATATCCCTCTGAATCAGGTTTTGATCTGTTATCATTGTTCCCAGATATCTGAACTGTGCCACATTTTCAAAACATCTGTTTCCTATCTTTATGTCATGATTTTGACCTGCATTTTGGTGATGAGACAGCAAAATATACACATACTTAGTTTTCTTTGTGTTTAGTTCTAGACCACCCTCCTTACTTGCGTCAATTAAAGTTTGTGTATTTTTCTTTATGGTATCTATATTATCACCCAGTAGTTTCACATCATGGGCATAGACCAACAGCTGATGTGTCCGGTTTAATTTCAGTCCCACTTGGTTTTCCTGGACTTTCCTAATGGCATATTCTAAAACAAAGTTGAAAAGGAGTGTCAGTAAAGCATCTCCTTGTTTTAGACCATTGTGGATAGGATATTTATCAGACAGATGTTTACCTATATGGACTTTACTATATGTTTCATTTAAACAGATTTTATTCAGCCTAACTAGTTTAATGGGTATCCTGAAGTCTATGAATAGCTGATGTAGTGTATAAGACTCAAAATTACTGGGTTTTTCAACTTTGTCCATCATGTATTCTAGAAACTAGAAAATGCAACATTTCAGAAACTGTTTTCTAGTTTTTAGAATACTGGATGTTGGGCAAAGTCCAAACCCAGTAATTCTGACAGTTATCATTGTTTACCAGAGGAGTCCGCTGCATTTGACATGTAGGTGTCGTGTGCACTATATCTGGTTTGTTGCGTGCTTGGTAAAATAGTAGGGCTGTCTGATGCAAGGAAGCATAGTCATGTGTTTTGAAATGAGAGGACAGCTCTGATAGGCAATACTGAAGTGCACAGATGATTTTGTATTGTTTTGTGTCATTTGTAGGCTTGAAACGAGCGCTGGACAAGCTGAAAGAGAAGGAGAGAGACAAGGTTCTGACACCAGAAGAACTGAAGGCAGCGCAGGAATCAGTGGCATATGGCTGCATTAAATATGCTGACTTGTCACATAACCGTGCGCATGAGTATGTGTTCTCCTTTGACAAGATGCTGGAAGACAAGGGCAACACAGCTGTGTACCTCCTGTATGCTCTCACACGTATCCGTTCCATTGCTCGTCTCGCAGGAGTGACACCCGACCAACTAAGTGCAGCAGCTGTTAATACACCTGTGTCACTTGATCATGACAAAGAATGGAAACTCGGTAAGGTGAGTGTCATTAAGCCTCTAGAACCTCTTTTTTTGAATCACAGAACAGATTAATGTAGTTACGCCCTCAGACTTATATTTGAGAGGTACACAGTTGGAATTTCATCAGGGTTACTGATCATCCAGAGGTTTTTCACTGTTCTCATAGTCTTCAAATGAATTCCAGAATAGAGCCTTCAAATAGGTCACGACCATCTCCTTCCAGAACATTAACCTTTGAAGCATGAAATTTGTAAATAATATTTACAAATGCAATTCCCACCTTACAGAAAATGCAGTGTGTCTCCATTAAAAAGACCACTTCATTAATGATGTTCAGGAAGGTTCCTGGTTGGATGATGTTTCTGATCGTTTCGATGCGAACTATAAATGGTATTAGGGCTGCCGGTGGCCCTTACGGCACTAAGTGTTCGAATATGTGGTTTGTGTTGTTAATTCAACCGAATGTTATGAATCTTACTCATAAAGGCAAGGCTAGCGTTAGTGTTATGGTTAGGTGGCTTGTTCTTGTGAAAACATATGGGACCAGTCCCAGGAAGTTGTTGAATAAGATCAGCAAGAATAAGGACACAAATAGGAAGGTTCTTCCTTTATTAATTCTTTTTTCTCCTAGGAGGGTTTTGAGTTCGTTGTGCAGTTTCGTTAATAGTGTATTTCACAATAACGGGTATCGGGATGGGATTAATCATACTCTGGTTGGGATGAGAGTTAGTCCTAGGAGGGTTCTGACTCACTTTAAGGATAGGTTAAAGTTTCTTGTTGAAACATATGAAACTCATAAATGCCAAGGTTTGTTAAGTTAAGAGCAGGTGATACATATAGTAACCATTGTGCTTTAAATGATTGATCTAATCACTGTTGTTCACACTTGTCTTCCTATCTCATTGCTACTGTAAATCTCTACAGTAGGAACAGCATTATTAAATAGAAAAATGTCACTTCCAAGGTGATGATTCTGTATGTTACTGTTTGGTTATGTTTACTGAAGAGTGTTGTGACTTGTGTTATCAGGTCCTACTTCGTTTCCATGATGTTCTTGCAGTAATAACAAAGGACCTCTGCCTGCACCATTTGTGCGAGTATGTGTATGAGATTGCCACTGCTTTCACTGAGTTCTACGACAACTGCTATTGTGTTGAGAAGGATTCAGCAGGTGAGACAACTGCACATTCTTGTCAAACGTATTGGAAACCAGCATATTCAGTCAAAGCCGGATTATAACCACTGTCTAGATCTACTAATTAAATGCCTCCTCCCAGTCATTTGGTACCAGGGGCTCTTTAGGGTTTGAAACTGACCGCTCATCTCGATCTAATGCTGAGGTTAAGAATGAGTGGCACTATGCCTTTACTTCCCTATACATCTTCATGGCGTGGTGCTTAATTAATTAAATGTAAGGACAACTTTAACTCACCCTACCTTTACCTACTCATTGTGCCTGTTTAAAATTCAAAAATTTGAAATAAGTCCTGGAGAGTTGTTACAATATATCTGTAGAGTTACACAACATAATACTTACATATAACTTTCATGGCAATGAGTGCTCAGACTGTGGTCTTCTGGTTTGTGACACTGTATAACCTTTGAAACTGATACCAATGTTTAAGAGTAATGCACTACCTCATCTGCAGGGCTGAACCTGAAGACATTGGCTGCATGTTTTTCATCCTACTACATACCAGTGTACATCTGTTTTCTGTTAATTAAAATACTGTTGTAACTTCCACTCAGTGCCATGTCATTCCTTCTGAAGTGACTAATAGCACTGTAAGATATTATTGTCACCTGTTAGTGACAAGACAGTGGGTTTGGATTGATAGTTGGATTTATTAAACGCTTGTAACTTGTAAAAAGAAAAAGTAAAGTTATCCCTGTAACAGGCCATGGAGACTCATAGGGTTGTGAGATGTTGAGTCTCCCACGTTTTGTAGACAATCGGCTCACAAATGGCAGTGAAGTTGTTGGCTTTACTCACCGGCCACCTTTTATTCCAGGAAGATTTCTGGTACTCACTTTTGTTAAGAGGCTAAGTGGACCCCAGTCCACAGTCCAGAGTTGCTGGAAGAATTAGGTCAATTGAAAATTCAGTGACCTCGTCGGGAATCAAACCTGCAACCTTCTGACTTGTAGCAGAGTGCCTCAACCATGTTACTGTGTGTCCTTTTAACTCGTAACTACGAATAACTTAAGTCTCACTAATTTATGCTTATAGATCACTACAACTACAGCACTCATCAAGTCATTCTGTTTGTTCACTAGCAGTTACTAGGTAATGGCTATTAACATTGCAGCTCAAGACTGCCTGGGCTGGTCAGTCAGTTGGGTAAATTGCTGCTGGATTTACCAGCACAGTCATTCTTGGTTCTGATGTAGCCTTGGCACAGGCTGAATATAAAACAGCACATCCAGCAGTTCATCTGTTGTTGCATATTTACGAGGTACTATCGGAAAGTTCCCAGACTAGGTCAAAAATAAATGCTGGCCTAACTTACTCAATTTTGGCTGCCATCTCCTTCAAAACAGTCTGCCCGGGAACGTATACAATGATCCCATCATAGTGCCAAATCCCAGAAGACTGCTTTCTTCATAGTCACCGCCGTGAAAGCCTCAAATCTTACAATAGCCATGTTGTTAGTAGTCACAAATTCTGTGGTTTTTAGGGACATATGGGCAGGCACATTGTCATGATGAAAGAACCAGTTGTGGTTGCACCAGAGTTCCAGTCTCTTTCATCACACATTTTCTCTCAAGCCTCTCAAAATGTCACAGTAAAAGTTAAAGTTGACCACAGTGTTAGGAGAAACAAATTCATTGTGAACAATCCCCTTCATGTTGAAAAAAAGCAATGATGATGCTCTTTGTTGAACTTGAGACCTCACATAATTCCTAACTGCCCCTAGATGCAGACAGGAGTGGGAATGTGAAATCACCCGACACAACCAAAGTACACGGACAGCCTGATTACTTAACTCAGATAGTGTCAAAATATAAAATGTGTTATAAATGCGCCAACCATTTGTGGTTAAAGGCACAAATGACTAATTGTCAAAGAGCCACATTATAAACAAACCAACCAACCAACCAACCAACCAACCAACTGTATCATAGATGAAGTAACATCAATTTTTTTCCTACAATGTTTCACAGCCCACTTTGTCTACTCTTGTCCTGAAGACATCTTCATGTATTTGTACCAGTAGCTGAAATAAGGAAATATGTTACAGGAGAGATTAAGAAATTGCACATGGGTCGGTTGCTCCTCTGTGAAGCTGTTGCTGTGATCCTGGAATGCAGTTTTCATATCCTTGGCCTGAAACCAGTGCAGCGTATGTAAGGTGCAGTATTAACTACACATTTCACTGCCATCAGTGGGGTTTTAGAGAGACTGATATCATTAGCCCAGTGTGAGTAGTTAAAGTTGTCAAGAAATATGAAAATTAATCAGGAGAAAATGTTATGGCAGTAGATGGCAGAGTATACAGTGGTTTGTGCCTTATCTTTGTCTCTTTAACAGACAAAAGTAAGTGGATGAAAACAAAAATTATCTGGAGAAAGAAAGAAATTGCTAAAAAAAGGTATAGTAATATAAAATTTATAAGAAGGTAATAGTATTAAAATGTAGGCAATATAAAACTTCCATTGTCCACTGCCATAGATGTGTTAAAATCTTCCTCATAAGTGGTAACTTGTCCGGCTATTAAACTGATCGCATATGTCTAAAAGCTACTGTTAGCACACACGACTTGGTATTAAGAATCGATCCCTTCATTTATTTGTTGTTGGTGATAATGGTACTGGTTGCGGGTGTTGGTTAAGCTGCAGAAGGTAGAAAAGAGTACAATTCACTGCCCCTCATACTAATGTTATGTCATTAGTTGTGATAAACTTGCATCCATTTTCTTGTTTGGAATATAAAGTTAAAGTGTCAAAGGCTAAATAAGAGTGGTAATAATAATAATAATAATAATTGTACTCTCATGCTTTCTGATGCTCCTCCAAGGAAAGTAAATGGAAACCCGAGTGCCTCAGAGATTAGGGAGGTATGTAAAAGCAGCATAGCAATGTGTGTTAAATATTTTATTGAAGTTGAAGATACGTAATATGAACCTGAAAGAGCTTATGAATGAGATGTTTACCTTCTGGTTTTTGTATGAAGTGTCTTTTCTGTTCGTTGTCTTTAAGTTCTGTGCTCACATGTTGCCATATTAGATGGAATATGGGCCAGTTGTATATCTTTTGCAACTGTAGTTGATTTATAACTGAACTACACATACATACACATTTATTTCGTTCCAGAGATCTACAATTGGCAGTGCTGCCTTGAGATATAGAACATGTCAATAAAAAGTACATTTAAAATGATAAATTGTTAAAAATTAAATATCCAAGACATTTAAAAAGGCCACATATAATTGTAGTACATTAACAGTTGTAGAACACAAACAAGTAACACATCAAACCAAATCACAGACACGACACCGAAACAAACAACGTCAAAAATCAGGTGCCATTCACAACAATTATAAACAAAAACAGACAGATAATATTATATTCTAGATGTGACAAATAATAGGCGCAATCTTTATCTATAGGAAGCACAATCATTCCTTGATTTCCATTCATAATACTCATGTAAGGAATAAAAAGAGCCCACCTGCAAAAATTTTTTTAGGGAATATTTGAATTTCTTAATGTCCTCTGACAAGCTTTTAATTCTACATGGCAAGTTGTTAAATATCCTAATCCCACTATAAAACACTCCCTTTTGCACTTTAGTCAGTTTACAGGTTGGATAATGTAAATCTAAACCCCGTCTAGTGTGCATGCCATGAATATCTGAATTTGTTACAAACTTGTCCATATTCTTAACCACAAAAACAGATATTGAGAAAATATATTGTGAATAGAATGGAAGAATGTTTAATGCTTTGAAAATTGGTCGACAAGAGTCCCTGTTACCCGCTCTCATTATTATTCTAACTATTCTTTTTTGAATTATGAAAATTTGGTCACTATTAGTTGAATTACCCCAGAATATTATACCATATGACATGATAGAATGGGCATAGGCATAATAAGTCATCAATAGGCTTTCTAGGGACATAACTGAAGTTAGGATTCTGATGGCATAGCTAGCCGAGCTTAATTTGCTGGCTGTATATTTGATGTGTTCTTTCCATGATAAAGTACTGTCAATTGTTATTCCAAGAAATTTCAGTGTACTCGTGTTATTAATTTGGATATCCCCTTGGTTTATATTGATATCTATTGGTAAATTAGGTTTTGATGAAAACTGAACACAGTTTGTTTTTGTCAGATTCAAAGTTAACGAATTAATAGAAAACCATACATTAATTAATTCAAGAATTTCTTTTAAAGTAATAACAAGTTCATTGTAGTTCGACTTGCAACACAATATGCTGGTATCATCCGCAAATAAAACTGGCTTTGACACTTTATTTATTATATATGGTAAATCATTAATATATACTAAAAAGAGCAATGGCCCCAGGATAGAACCCTGAGGGACACCCTGTTTAACCTTTTGCCATTTAGAAACACCACTTTCAGTGTTATTATTCAATATTGTTCTTTGCTGCCTATCAGTCAAATAGTCTTTGAGCAACTTTCCTGCTAAACCATTGATACCATAAAACTCCAGTTTTGCAAGTAGTATTTCATGATTTACACAATCGAAAGCCTTAGTCAAATCGCAAAACAAACCTCCTACAACTAGTTTGTTATTTAATGCTGATAGAATAGTATTTATTAAGTCATGAGTGGCTGTATCCGTGGACAATTTAGTACGAAATCCATGTTGTTCATGCGCCAGGATTTTATTTATGTCGAGATGATGTTGAAGTCTATTATATATAACTTTTTCAAAAATTTTAGAAAAAGATGTCAATAGAGATATTGGCCTATAGTTTGCCACATCAGTTCTGTCACCTTTTTTAAATATGGGTTTTATTTCGGAATACTTTAGCCTTGTAGGGAATACACCAAGACTTAGTGACTTGTTACACATGTAAGTTAAAGGTGACAGAATAAACGGTAAACTTATTTTAAGGATATGCTGGGGAATCTCATCATATCCATATGAATATTTCAATTTTAATGATTTTATTATATCTTTAATTTCTTTGTTGGTTACGGGTGTCATATGTATATTTGGAAAAGGATGTTTGAATACGTCAGAAAGAAATTTGAGGGCTTCATGCCCGTTAGTAGACATACTACTTTTCATTTGTGGTAATGGAGATGCAAAATAATTGTTAATAAAATTCGTCATAATTTGAAAATTATTACATAATTTACCTTCAATTTTTATTGTTGACATTGGATTTTTTTCTGGATTTGTATTAGTTATGGATCTGATGATATTCCAAGAAGTTTTAATTTTATTTTTAGAATTTGAGATTAATTTTTTATAGTATCGTTGTTTTGCTAACTTTATAACCTTTGACAATACTTTACAATATTTCCTGTAGTACCTTGATAATTCTAAATCATCTTTATTTCTAATAAGTAAGTAGAGCTCTCTTTTACGGGCACAGGACACCTTGATACCTATTGTTAGCCAGGGTTGACTTGAATGGGTTGATGCGAACTTTTTATAAGGAAAACTATTATTAAATATTCTTAGATAGGTGTTAAGAAAATTATTAAACATTGCATTTAAATCATCATTAATATTAAAAACATCAGCCCAATATTCATAGCTAAGACTCTTCTTAAAATCAGCAATGGTATGCTCATTTATTAATCTTCTAGTAACAAAAGAGCTAGAAGAGTTTGAAAATAAAGTATTACTCAATGTGAGCAGTTGGGCGTCATGGTCTGAGAGTCCATTAGGTATAGGAATGATTGAAAATAGTTTATATATATTTCTATTGATGAAGATATTATCAATTGCTGTAGCCGAGGTCCTTGAAACTCTGGTGGGGAAGTCTACTATACTACTTAAGTTGTATGACATTAATAGAGAAATTAATCTAGGCTTATTACTACCTGTATTATCCAAATAATTTATGTTTATATCTCCACATAGTATAATACTTACAGACCTGGTTTGAATTCTATTGAGTATTACTTCTAGAGAGTTTAAAAAATGTAAAAAATTTCCCGAAGGAGCTCTATATACAGTTAAAATGCAAATATTATTAGTAGGAAGATATAACTTTATAGCACAAACTTCTATTATTTGATCAATACAAAATTCCTCAAGATTAACAAGTTCATATTGTAAAGACTGATGGGTAAATATACCTACGCCACCATTTTTCATTGATTTTCTACAGTAGTATGCACCAAGGTTATAATTGTTGATAGAAGTCCGCATTATTTCAGTTTTATTTAAATGGTGTTCTGTGAAACAGAGAATATGTGGCGTTTGGAAAACCCATTGACTAAGTAGCTCATCTATTTTATTTCTTAGTCCTCTTATATTTTGGTGGTATATTCTTAAATCTGAGAAATTATTAGTAACATTACTTCTTAAATTTTTTAAATTATTTAGATTTTTAGGTGTATTGCTATTTCTAGTAATAGTTGAATTTTTTTGTGTTTTGATTAACTTTGATTTAATCAGTGGAGAACTGACTTTGTCAATATTATCATTAAGTCTTGATTCTGGCTGCCTATCTATGGGATCCTTTTCATTCACCATAAAAAATCATTACTTTTTGTTAATGAGGGTTTTTTCAACCTCCTAGATGTTCTCACTACTTTAGTTAAAGGGTTTCCCAAATTATCAAGATTATCAAGGCTTCCAGTTTGAGTTAAGTCATCAGATCTTCTCTCCATTTCACAGGCTGACTCCTCGTAAGTTGCAGCAGTAGGTTCTATCACTTCCCCATCCTTGGCTACTTCTTTGAAGTCTTCATTATGTTCTTTTTCCTTTTTATCTTCATATACATCATCATTCAATTGTGCATCATTAAGATCGTTATAAGCAATGGAAGACTCCTTCTCCAATGTAATATCTTGATTATTTTCCCAACCTAATGTAATGGGTGAAAACTCAATATGCTGGAACAATTTCCCAATAATTGCAGAAAGTTGGGTACAGATAATTTCTTTACCTTTCCCATTGAGGTGCAAGCCATGCCTAGTGAAATAATCTCTATCTTGTGGAATTTCCAGGATAGTAACATGCTTATTAAGTTTCATATATTTCCATAATTTCCTATTAAATTTCATTATTTCCTCATTTATATATGACTTTACAGTCTGATCATAACGATGAGGTATTGTTAATAATACAATATTTGTCTGTGTGTTCTGCTTAACAAACTGAGAGATATGCCATAAGGTCCTCGAAGAATTATCGCTAATTAAGTCATTTGTGCCTCCAATAACAACAAGCACACCCTTATTACTCAAGCTTGCAATCTCTTGGTTTCTATTGGAAAGTAAGGTCTGTAACTCACAATTTGGTTTAGTATAACCTGTAACCTCAAATGTATCCAATAATTTATCTTTTAACCTTGACGATAAACCCCGTGCATGGCTGTCACCATAAATTACAACTTTATGATCCCTCTTCATTTTACTAGCTTTTTCGCTTCTCCTTTCTATTATTGACTTTCTAGGATCATTCATTTGTGGAGGATCTATATACCCGTTGATAATAGTTGGTATTTGGCAGCACTTGATATCACTTTTCTGATAGCTCCCACTTCCATACTCCATGTTGGTAGCTGTCGTTGCCTGATAAGGACGATGCAAATTATACTGACTTTCACATTGCTCAAATGTAGAACGTTGATTAAGCTTCTTCGGCCTTTTAGATTTAATGTTATCTCTTCTAACATCACGTATCATTACTTTCCACTTCCCGGTATATTGTCCGAAAGACTTGATAATGGTGCAAAACTATTAACGGTCGCTACAGGTTCGTCAGATCGTAATATCTCAAGCCTTCTTACTTGATTGTCCGATTTGATATGCTTAGTGTTAATATCACACCACACGGGGGACACTGATGTTTCATTATAAGTTACAGCAGAGTGCGATCTAACCTCATTTTCTGCATGAACCGTATTTGATTCAGCATACAAAAGTTTAATTGCTAATTGCAATGAATTTAACTCAGATAGCGTCTCTTGAAGTCGTTCTTCTAAATATGTACACTTCACACAGTTTTCAGAACATACCTCTTCACAATTATACGAAAATTTAACAGTGCCGCACTCATTCGAAACACCACCATCCGCCATCTTGTATCCAAGATGTTCCCTCAATAACACAAATTCTCAATTGAGTGACAAACAAGGTATAGTAATTAAACTTTCTTCAGCAACACAGAAATAACAACTCACCGACCACCATCACTCACTGAACTGATTATTGGTGACTTCTATTTTTGTAAACAGCCTTGACTTCAGTTGGGAAGAAGTCCTAATTTTTTTTATAGCTGAAGTGAGTTTTGCAGTAGAGAATTTATGTAAGTTATGGATACAGGTGTACTGAATGAAGCAATATACTGCCAGTTTCGAAGCGTGTGCTAGAGAACGGGCATCTCCATAGTACAAAAGGAATTAATAACATGCAGAATATGTTGCATCCATAATCCTAGAATGCACATAGTTATGCCAACTTTACCTGTAATGCCGTGGTGCAGGGGGCGTGGAGGTAGCCCTCCCGCTGCTGCCACTGTTATGCCCTAGCGGCGCAGGGGGGGCGTGGAGTCAGCCTCCTCTGCTACCACCGTAACACTGCAAGTAAGGGTGCGTGGAGTTATCCCTCCTCGCCTCCACTGGTTAGGTCGTAAACTGGTACTACTGGTAACGTCGTGCCGTCGGGGGTGTGCAGGTACCCCTCCTTGCCTCCACTGGTTATGCTGTAAGGCGTTAACGCACTCATCCTAGCTTACCCTTAGCTAGGATTCTCCTATATCGGAGTTTCCTTCTGTCATACAAGCTGCCACCATCTATTTTCTGTTCTTTCAATTGTGGGGACTACTCCCTGGCATGTAGTCATACCCCTTCTTGACCACTCCTCCCTTAGTTTACAGGTAGCGTCTAAATACTTATTAATACACTTTATCATTCTATCTTAAAAGGGCGTTGCTGTCGAGGCTACCGTACTCTGCCTGTGTGGCAGGAGCCTATCCCTGTCTATTCTTATCTCCGTCTTCGGCTGCCACTGCGGCCTGTGTCAGTTCTGCCCTCGCTCGTCAGGATTACTCGGGATCGGGTGTGGGAGGTGGATTATATATATGAATTACACTCCCGGTACATCCTATCCTATCTATTCTAGCTGTCTATTTACATTAATATATATACACGATTTACATTATTTACAGGTTACAAAGACGGTCCTTCCGTCTTGACTACATAAATTCTTACTACGCTTTCGGTTTCTTCAAGTTCTCCCCTTTCAGGGGTGGAGGCCTTGAGCCTCTCTCTCTCTCTCTCTCTCTCTGACTCATCTCACTCGGACACGCAAGTCCCTCTCGTGAACATATATATCTTTCCTGTACATTTCTGATTACACATGAAATATGATTCTACTATCTTTCATAAAGTTCCCTCAAAACATAATCTACCCTTAAATATCTATATTAATTTCCCACATACGATATTTACCACTACTCACTATATGTAACCTTGACACCGACGTATAAGTCACTCATTGCCTGACTAAGATCCTAGGCTTCTACACGATCCTAGTTTCCTACCCTACGGGCTCACTGGGTACACTGGAGATCGCACATTGAAACACAGTTATCACCAATACTATGAAACAACATATTATCAATCGGCATGGCTAATATGCGTAAACAAACCCACCTGTAGTACAAGATGCCGGCTGACGTCCCGCGCTCGTCAGACCCATGTTGAAGAGCGCCTTCGGCTGACAACTGACTATTCTGTTAGAACCTCATCCCAAGTCCCCCGAAATTCCCTAATTTATGGTTTTATTTCGCTGATTCAGCCTTGACGTAAGAGGGTGGGTGACTTCCCCTCAGTGTCCTCAATCCTCATAATAACCTCCTCATTGGCTCTCATGGGTGGTTGGGGGGGACCCCTTGCGTCTGATTGCTGTGTCTGCCGCAATATTACGATATTCCAGTGGCCCAGTGAGACAAGCGCTGGCTGGTGCTCTTACGTATGAATGCTGATCCCACGCATTCTTAGCCTACTTGCCAGTCCTGGTGTTACAATTTACTGTAATAGCTGCGAAACTCTTTTCGCAAGTCTCTGGCTTTTTTGGGTAATACCATCCTCTTTCTAATCTCAAATTTGGGGCATAACATTACCCATTTAACTATTCATCTGTGGATATTTGTATTCTTTCTCTTGGTCATATTCTGTGATACAGAGATTTTGGGATAGCTGGGAAGGGATCATTACATACGCATTGAACATAAAGGTAAAGTTGTCCCTTTGCTCAACTAATTAAGCACTGCACCATGAAGGCGTATGAGAGAGTGGATCTATAGATCCACATTTTCTTAACCCCGGCACTAGTTGGTGAACATAAATTGTGCACAAATTGAAAGCCTCTGTGGTCTAGTGGTCAGAGTTCCTGGCTACAGATCCAGATGTCCGGTTTCAATTCCCGGCACTACCAGATTTTCTGAGAAGTAATGGGTCTGAAACGGGGTCCACTCAGCCTCTTGAGGATAACTGAGGAGCTGTTTCAAGGAAACAGTCTAGAAAAACGAGATTAATACCCGTGGGGATCCATTCGGATCCAGTGCGCTGACCACGCGACACCGTCTATCCGCTAAAGTTGGCACTAACTTCACCGACAAGTGGCGGTTGCTCGGTCAGTATAGGTCTCTTGTGGACTACAGGCCACGGAGTTTCTTTTTTTGTTTGTTTGTTGATTTTCATTTGAAATTATATACCCCTAAATTGACATCGATGGTGGGAACAGAACCGTGTGTACACTGAAAGTGTACTTTAAGGCTGCAGATATGTAGATAAACTGTCTTCATTACTGGTGAAGGGCAAACATATATAATATCTTGAGGTACTCTGATATTTTTATTGAATATTCTCAGATTTGGTATTATTGTACATGGTGGCAGAGTATAATGGTTACAGTATACATATATTACAACTTATTTTTTATTTTCATGTTCTTTCATTACTGTGACCATGTGTTAACTTCACTGGCAGCTGGAATAGACTGAAGTGCAGTACTTTAATTTCCATATATTAGTGCATTTCGAACAAACATGTCCTTTCATATGATAAATGCACAAATTTCATTTCACATAGAAAACTTTCAGTTCAGATTGTGGTCTTCTGTTTTGTGACACTGTATGGTCTTAGAGGCAAAAACTGACATTTTGGAGGAACAAGCCTTTGTCATTGTTGTCATCATCATCATCAGAGTTGAAGCTAGGTTTGCTTCTGTTGAAGTCACTTCAGCTGTGCAGATGAAGACAACATGTTTTTCTGAAATGTCAGAATTGACTTATAGCACAGAAGACCACAATATGAACTACTGCCATAAAAACCTAAAAATTTATAGATATTTCAGGTCCTGTACATATTTAGCAATGTTTTTTCTTAGTGTCCATATAATTCAGTTATATCTTTATTAACCTTTAAACGCCGGACTTCGAAATAGTGGTAAGCTTGAGCTGGCCGGAGTTTATTTAAATGTCCGCTGCTGGTGCGCGTTTAAATGCCCGTTGCTACGCTGCGTTTAAATGTCCGTTCCTGTTAGGCGCTTAATCAATTTTAAGCGTTGTGTTTAAAAATGCTCTATCTAGCTCAATTTTTATGATAAATGGATGGAAATAACTTTGTTTATTTCAGAAAAGAACATAGTGTCGCATATTATAAAGGAAGATTTGAAATTTTTAATACAAAGTGTTGTACTCTATTTTCAATTTTTTGTGTTTTAATTTTGATGCGTACTGCAAAAATGGTTTCCCAGTTCTTCACAGAGTTGTTCTGCATTATAACTTCATTTCTGTTTGTAACACTTGACAAATTTTAGCAGTCTCTGGTGTCATAAAACAGATGGAAGCAATAAAATCATTTGGTCTTCTGCTAGCGCTGCTTACACCCTTCGGATTTTCGAATACTTGACTGAAGGTCAGAAGAATGAAAGAATGGCTATTCAAGAGAAAGCTATAGGGGTCCCCTCTTCAGTGCTAAGATGTTCCGTTAGGGCTGCAAAAGCTTATTGCCCCTTCTATTTGAATGAACAGACAGCTGCATCGTGGCTGAGATACAGAGCGTGATCTCTTTTGTGTGCGTTCGTAGTGAAATCGAATACTGTAGTTTCATTTGAACCTATATATACATCAAGAAGGTAACAACAAAAAAGGTATGTACATCGAATTTTACACTATATTTTTAACATACCTATCTGCAGAATCTGCAACAAAATTACTGGATTGTGGATAAGTTTTGGCATAACTCATACGTATATTTTTATTTGCTGTTGTTCAGTAAGGTATTATTTTAATTCCTCTATTAGGGTTTTACTTAAGTCGGTCTGGTAATTACTACATTTAAAAATAAATATTCAGGACTGTGCATGCGCTTCTACTAGCGGCGTGTGCGCGCGCTTCCACTAGCGGAGTTTAAATGCCTGACTGGCCACAACTGGGTACTTTGGCCACGACGACCTTACTCATGACTGGCACAAACTGGGCACTTCGGCACTTAAAGGTTAACATCACTTTACCAGTTACTAGTATTTTTACGCCTTGAATTTTTCTGTACCAAACTATCTTCAGATAGGCTACTTGAAAGCAGTTTGTCAACCTTATGGCGGGGGGACTCTACCTAAACTATGGTAAATTGACTGTAGATAGTATTTATGAATACAAAACATGTCTTTCCTTGTGTTCATTTTATATACAGACTACATTATTTGTTGCTTTTTGAAAACATTTGGCACAAATCTCTCGCCCACGTGAAGGCTGCCAACCATTAGGACTGCACTTGTTACATTTTCATGTGTTCACGAAGGAACCTGTGGACTATGCTGTCAGTAGCAGCAGCCTCTTGCTATCAGAAGAGCTGTAGAATGCCAATAAAGTGAATGTGTTGGCTTATGTTGCCACGGTATATAGACTGTTGGTTTCTTATATTCATCTGTATGAGGCCATATTTGACAAATGTATTTCATAATGGATGCTCTAATGTTGACTTAGGATTTCATACTGTCAGAGAAACATACTGTTGTATTTGCGGGTGTGACTATAGATGGGGTATGGATTGGTAAATGGATTTATTGAACACTTCTGTACACCACCCAGATCTACAAGTAATTACAGTGCTATCACTAATCCCCACACTTTACAAAATCACTCCTTCCAGCCTGCTGTGTATTCAACAGCCCCTCCCAACAATGGCTTCTAACAGCAGAGTTTCTTCAGCTTCCTGCGATCATGTCATTGCTGTCCAGTGAATATCCTACAGCTGAAATTTTGTCAACTCAACTATAATACCATCTCTTGTCAGCCTCCCTTGAAGAGCTCGGCTGAAATGCCAGCCCTCAGCTAACTGGCTCCCAGGCTGGCGGCCATTTCACACCAACCTCCTAGTCTTCTCTTCACAGGCTGACTTTCAACTGACAATTCAACTATCTAGGCCTAGTCAGTTGCCTAGCAATAGACTGGATATAATTTCTGCAGGAATGTGTTTACTGAGCCATTACCAAGCAACACATGTTCCTTCTTGCGATCATTGCATTGCAACAGTACTACACATTGCAGTACTTATTGCAGATCTTATGTATGTGATAAATTAAGGTACCAATTCACACACATACTCATGTAACGGAGATTGACATCCCTTTCATCAGTACCCAATTAAGGAATTTGGTTTAAGATCTCTACTGCATTGTTAGGGGAGCCAGTATAGCACAGTCAGTATAGCAACTGTCTGCAGGCTGGACAACCAAGGGGCCAGAGTTCAAATGCCAGTAGGGACAACAGTTTTCTCTTCTCCATGTTGTCCAAACTGGTTCTGGAGCCCACCAAGCCTCCTATCCAATGGGTACCAGGGGCTCTTTCCCCGGGGATAAAGTGGCAGGAGCGTGAAGCTGACCACTCACCTCCAGCTAGTACTGAGGTCAAGAAAATGTGGATTATACATCCATGCCCCCACATGTCTTCATGGTGTAGTGTTTAATTAGTCAAGCACGGGGACAACTTTACCTGTTATTGCATTGTTAGGAGGGGAGGACAATATCTGTAATGGCTCTACCCAACCTCCTTAATTGTTCTGTACTCTTCAGGTAAAGAAGGGCAGAGCATGAAGCTTACTACTTAACCTCCATCTAATATTGAGGTCACCTCTTACCTCCCTACCCACCAGTATACTTTCAAAGTGACTAGGCACTGATGCTTTGCCTGCCATTAATTCCCTCTTGTTTGCTTTTCCTAGCAGTGCCATTTGCTGTATTACATGTTATAGTTGATTGAGCATCATTACACTATTCATCAGTGATAATTGCTATCACTGCCTTCACACTGTTTTCTAATGAACTGAGAATTTATCACAAGGCACGTGGAAATGCTTGTGATACAAGGGTAGGTCAATAAGTAAGTTACAAATGGATATAGAACTTAAACAAATAAGAGTACTGATTTGAAAAATGCTTTTATTTCTCAACACAATCTCCCTATGCACTGAGGCACTTGTCCCATTGTTTCACAAGCCCCTGAAAACCAGCAGCATAAAATTCTTTCAGCTGTTGTTGGAACCAGGCGGTGACTTTCCTTTCTACAGCTTCATTATCAGGAGAATCTTCAGCCAAAAGATGATGTTTAAAGAGGGCCGAACAAATGGAAGTCGCTTGGAGCAAGGTCGGGGCTATACGGAGGATGCTCAAGGATTTCCCACTTGAAATTTCACAGCGTTTCATTTGTCTTGTTGGCAGTATGGGGATGTGCGTTGTCATGCAAGAGCACCACGCCTTTGGTGAGGAGTCCTGGTCGCTTCCATTGAATGGCCTTATGAAGTTTCCTGAGGATGTTACAGTAGGAGTCAGCATTTATGACATTTTCCCGACAATGAAGCTGTAGAAAGGGAAGTCACCGCCTGGTTCTGACAGCAGCTGAAAAGAATTTTATGCTGCTGGTTTTCAGGGGCTTGTGAAACGATGGGACAAGTGCCTCAATGTACAGGGAGATTATATTGAGAAATAAAAGCGTTTTTCAAATCAGTACTCTTGTTTGTTTAAGTTCTATATCCATTTGCAACTTACTTATTGACTTACCTACGTAATTCTCTCCCTAGATGGGAGATTATCAGTGTTAAAGCTATACGGTGGCATTAATATAATTATCGTATATCAGGGTAATCCATCACAGGTCTCCAATACTTACAGAAAGAGACAGTGTCATCTGAAAGTTAGCATAATTGTTTCGTTTATATCTTTTGTTCATGGTTTATATGGACAGCTGGATAAATGGTTTTGACAGTATTTGTTCCAGTTCCAATAGAAACCCTTCATCCCATTTTGAGAGATTGCAGCTTCAGTACTGGATACTTCTGAAATGGTTTCAAAGATGAATAATGTATAGACAGACCTGACCTCTTTGTAAGTTCTCTTTCATGCATATGGGTATGGAACACCTGAAAACATTCCGGTAGGTGATGATGGATGTTATATATAACATCCACACACAAGAGAAGACAATACCATATGAGAACGACATACAAGCAAGGATCAGAACGTAATCACAACAACGGCCTTATGAAAAGAAAACAACATGTGCACACCCAGGCTGCTACAATATAAAAATCCAAAGAGATGGATATCAAACTGTATCGGTTGGACAAGTGGACAATGCCCCTGATAGAGGTGTGAAGAAGAATTTTACAAAATTTTAACGGAAAATTTTTAATGAATTTCAATTTTAAGTAAATTACAGCATATGGTATTTTAACTAATATTAACTAATTTATCATTTATAACATCCAGTATTTTAAAATCATGAAGTATCGCAGTTATATGTGATGTGAAAAAGTGAACATTCTGTACAGTGGAACCGTTTTGGCATAGCCGAGACATCTGATTATGGCCGTTTGAAGCTTTGAGGCTGAAATATGTTGCGAAGGGAAGGAGTGATGGAAGTAGTTTCATTATTGATGGTGGTATATTGTGTATAAAAGGTTAACTTTGTTCATTCTGGTCAGTCACACTAATAAACTAAATTATAGAATAATTAAAAACACCATCCATTATGATTTAATTTGTAGATATATATTGCCCTTTACATCTTTCGGTCAGCTGACCATCTTCAGAAAGCCTAAGATCAACATGTTGTAACCGTTCTTTTGTACTACTAGCTCCGGCAGAGAAATTCATCATCTCTCAGGTAGTGTTGACTGGCCATGACTTGGGTGATTAGGGGGGCCTTGGGTGTAGGAAGGTCAACACTCAACACCAGTTAGCAGTTTAAAGTCTTTATTCAGATTTTACTATTCAGATAATAACTGCGCCGAAGTGATCCACTTAACTGATTGGTGGATTTAGGCTCCTATACTGGTTACTAAGACACACTAGTCTAGAGGAACCACATAGTGTATGTACGGGGATCAGAACATGTGTACCTCAGATGAGTGTAAATTTCTGAGTGCCCAGCCAAGCACTCTCTCATGGGTAGACATCTGCTCTGGTTACCCAAAATTTGGGCAAAGGACGTTCTGCTTCAGATTTTGATTGGCTGGACCAGGCAAGCTGGAAGGCTGCTTAATCTTTTTCATCCAATTAGAAAAAGAAATACTCACTTGAGTGAACTCTGCCGCCTGCTGCATGACTGTCAAACTGAAATTTTGGGTAGCATATAATAACTCTGCAAAAATTATGATTTCACCTGTCAAAGTTTAGAATTTCTAAAGAACTTGTTCTTGTGTTATGCATTGGCTTGGGTGATTTACTGATGGGCAGCTGGCTTCAAGCTTGACCCAAGCCACCTGCTGTGTGTCTCAGGAGGAAATCTCCAGCTGTGAGACAAAAGTGATGAATGTCACAGAACCCTAACCATACACACAAAAATCAATTGACTGTCCCCTAAATTGGACAGTTACAATATTCAGGAACATAATACATAGACATTTTTATATAAAAGTTATTTACAATTATTTGGATTAATAATATTATTAATATATAATATTTAAGATCTTGAACCGATATGGTTTGTGTCCTTGTGCCTCTTGTTAAAACGAAATGTTTGGTATTGAAGTCCTCAGAGGTCCTCGCAGTGATGCTCTTTGAGATCCTGTGTTATTGTGATGTCTAGTTGTTTCCTTTTTAGACAGTGTTTTTAATTAATCCATAATTTAACCAAGAAAGCATTCTTCATACTGAATTGCCCACTTTCCTCAGTAGGAGTATATGCTTCATGGACTTGTATTTGCAAGTATGTATGAGTTGTTTTAAGGAAGTCATTACAATTATTGATTTATAGTAAAACTAATTTCATTACTTCTGACAACATTCATATAATAGAAATGGCATGAAACAGTCAGTACAATAGGCATACTGTATTGGCGGATTTTAAAATTATGTATTTTTTCCACTGGAAGACTTAAAAAAATACCCCAACATAACAGCATATAAAGCGCATTAGGATATTAGAAATGTGCTACATATGCGATTATAACTGCTCTGATTTCAGTATTATGGAAGAGTATAGCTGTATATTCCTTACATTCAACAATAAAATAACAAAGAACTTTGTACAGAGAAATACAGGAATAGCTTATGATACATCAAAATATATATGTATAACATTTAAATTTGTATGATTTTTTCTACACATTTAACAGGATTCCTAGGAATGATGACTACAATTTTTATGCATGTGTGAGAATGACACTTTCAGTTTGAGATGAAAATTGTATTTAGTAGACCAATTTTGTTTCACTGTAATCACAATTTATAATAATAGCAACTTTTGCAGTATACTAAAATGTACTATTTATCCTTTTCAGTAACAGTTTTTATATTGTGAATGAAACTCTTCAAGTTATAGGCATTTCATGAGGTTTAGTTTTTAGAATTTGTCCTGAAGGTGACTGGGTCTATTGATATCACTGAAAGACAAAATGGTGAGATAATTAACTAGGTGATTATCAGGGAAGGGAAATATAGTGATTTTTGTTAGAAGTGGCATACAATAGAAAAAGTTCACAACTTTGTGGTTTAACTGTGCCTAGACTGCCTGCATTCTGCTGCTGATACACTGACAAGGCTGTTGCCACAAGACAAACAGTCTCTATTGTCAAACATCTTTGCTGCTATTCAAAGCAAAAGCAGTTCTCTGAATTTTCTCAAGGTTTGAGACTGAACATTTTTGTAAATCGGTATCCAGATATTTTTATTTTCAATTCAGTCTAAAAAAATCAGTACTCACACATACATAGTAATTTCATTCCTTCCACATTTCACCTTATAAAAGAATGTTATAATAAAAATCATGAAAGTACAGATTGATGTCTGTACAATCTCCTTATAAATACAGTGGAAGTATGCTTTCAGTCTGCAGTCTTGTCATCAATTCCCAGGTACACTTACAGGTCTTGGAAGTTACATCATAATAATTACATCACATAATTGTTAACTCTTTGGTCAGTATACTGTGAAGAAGTAGATTCTGTCGAACCCCTTCCATGTTACCACTAGCCTGGTTGCATCGTGGATGGTTTCCTAAAACTGAAAGAAAAAGTATAGCTTACCACCATTCTGTCAGTGAAACCACACTGATACCATGTCTGCTTTCATGTGGAGTATATTCTCCATGACAGAGCTCATTGTAATCATCTTCTGTGCCAAGGAAACCTGACCCCTTACCTTCCTCCATATTTACCCCCCATCTGTCCCCTCCTATTTAACACCACTTCACCACCCTGTACAATTCTCCTCCCCTCCTCCCTTCATGTCTCACTCTGACCCTACTGTCTTCATTGCACCTGCCCTAATCTCTATTTTCATTCCTCTTCCTTCAAGCCCCCAAGTATAAATTTTCTCCCCACCCCTGATCCAGTAGTTGATTCCCTGTGCACTCTCTCTCTCTCTCTCTCTCTTTGCCCCTTCCACACTCACCTCATTGCCATTGTACCACAGATTTCTATAGCTCCCTAAATCTCCACCATACTTCCCTCACACACACTTGTTTGTGTTTCATTGTCCACTACTTCACTTTTAAGCACTTTTTCTCTCTTTTTCTTCCTCTTACCCTCTACTACTGCACTCTGTTTTCACCTCATGTAGTCAAATTAATGTAATTTTGTAGGATTTGAGGTTCTGACAGTGGTGAATGTGAAGAGTTGTGTTGCTACCTGCTTCATGCTGGTTCATTGCTTGGCTTATTCTTCAACCCTGAAGATGAAGGCAACTTGTTCCTCTGAAACTTTGGACTTTCACTAGACTACACGGCATTATATCACAGAACACAGAACTCTTCATGTAATCTTTCTTGTGACCCCTCCTCCCACTTTCTTATTAGCCTTTCTCCTGACTTCTAGTGTTACTCAGCCCTTGTACCTCCACTCATTTCCAAATCTCCTGACTTCCACATCTGTGTTCCTATCTATATTCACCTCTATTTCAACCCTCAACCCTTTTCAAAACCTAACTGGTCTGCTTTCTTTCCTGCTTTGTTCCTTTTTCTCCCACCTAATCCCATCCTTGCCTCTTATTTATTATTATTATTATTATTATTATTACTTTTACTTTTATTCATTATTATTTCTTCCAAGTACTTACCTGTAATTTGTATTTGACTTTTAATAAGTTTGTCTATAATGTAATTCATTCATCTGCACTGTGCTGTGTCTGTAATTGGCCTTGCGGCTGTTGACTCAGCACATTAATAATAAAGAATTGAATTGAATTATTATTATTATTATTAGAGGGGGTGGGTTTCCCCATGCACTTAGACCAGTTATTGGTCCACTGTGCATCCCCCTTTAATTTCTACTGTCGCCATACCCTACCGGCACTGGTGCATGTTATCAGCCCCATGCAGCCAACGAGGTCAGCCCTCGGTACCTGGTATTTCCCCCATCTACCAGAGGCATTGGAAACTACTTGGGTGGGAAACTTGTTACCTAATTTTGCTCAGAGGTCTCCTAGAGACATGAGGATCTTTTACATGCCGTAAATCTCCAACACGGGACCCATGGCTTAAAGTCCCTCCCGGAGGAGTTGTTCCCTGAATTTTTCCGCCCTTAAAAATTCCACGACCTCCACCGGGTTTGAACCCGCGTACCTTCAGTCATGAGCTGGGAATGTTACCCCTAGACTACGGAGGCCGTTATCCTTGCCTCTTACTTCTCATTGTACCTCTACACTACACTAATGTGTTCTACACCACTCTGCAGATCTCCAGCCTATCATCATCCTGAAATCCCCCCCCCACCACCACCACCACCAATTCTTTTCCCCCACACCTCTATTTTATTCCATCCTACTGTACAGGCAACTCTGTCCTCTCTAAAACTCACCCTTTATCCCTCTTCCATTCCACATCCATCCTCCCAATTACAAAATGTCATCTCTGATCACTTTCACTCACAGATAACCCCCATTTGCCTCCAGGTAAATTTACCCTCATCCTCTCCCATCTCTGTCCTCCAAATCCCTGGCTACAATGTTATTCTTTCACAGTGCACCCCTCTTCCCTGAAACTATGTGTCTATTTTCTTGTTTCTGGCCCTCTTTGTCTTTGGAATCATACTTGCAAGTTTACTTTCACTTCCCTATCCTCTTGATTAACCTAGAGGGCACATAATGCAGATTGTGAGTTGTTATGGGATTAAAGGTAACACAGAAAGGGGNTTAAAAGGAGATGTGGATGGATGAATGATGTGTGGTTTGCAAGAGAAGAGGTGTATGGTAAGGTAGTAGAAGCAGGGGGAAACAGAAAACAGTGGAATGAAGCTAAAGGACAGAGACAGAGAAGCAAATCAGAAGAGAGGACAAGAATGTTTGGACTGTGGACATGGACAGGAGCAAAAGTGGGAGAGAGTGGAAATGTGAAACATGTAAATTTAGAAAGGAAAGGGTGAAATGTGTCAGAGATGCCATGTGATTATGGGAGAATATAGGCTTGAGTGGGAAGTGGCAACCTGTTGGTCACATGGTGGAGGATGAGGGTAGAAGAGAAGTTTTTGTGAATTAAGATGGGTTAGAGGTGGTGAAGATGAAGTCTGGTTTAAGTGCATGAGATGTGGGGCAGAGAGGTGGAGGCTGACAAAGGAAGAACAATGGAAGCTCAGTGAAGGTGAGCAAGAAATGCAGAGGGGCATGGAGAGCATGAATAATGTGAGAAAGAGAGTGGGGATGGTGAAATCAGAAAATCAATGAGCTTAGAATGTGTGGTGAGACACTGAGGGATGTGAAAGGGTATATATGAAAAACTGGGGAAAATGAAGTTAAGGGGTCAAAAGGGGTGGAAGTGAGTGGTGTGAACTTTGCAGAGGAGTGTAAATATGGAAAGTAACAGGAAGAATATGATAGCAGGTAGCAGAGGGGTTTATGTAGAGAAAAATGGTTTAAAAGTAACCACTGTATCTTGCACCATACCTTGCTTCCCTGTTCCTGTTTTACAGTGAGAGGGCAAGCCCCAGCCGAGCCAGTACCATTTCCTTCCTAAGGCGAGTCATCTCCCAGTACACATCATGCACTGAAAATGTGCACAGATTTCAATATATATGGTGAATACAACATTTATTGAGTTATTTTGAGAGTCATAAATCTCACAGGCATTATTATTTAGTAAGATGTTGGAATTAACACAAATGTATGTTTTTTTATCCCCACATAATTACACATCTTTTCTCCATAATTAATGGTTACTTAACTCTAAAATGTGAGGACTGCCTCTTCAGGTCTGCAGCTAGCACCCTGTTGTTCTACCTTCCAATTATTATCTATGAAAACCTTTTTTTCTTTTAATTTTATAATCATCTACAAACATTTAAAGTAAGAAAGCTATTTTTAATGTTTTAAAATGAGTACCAGGAATCTTCCTGGGGGTAAAGGGCAGCCAGTGCGGAAGGCTGACAACCTCACCACCATCTGTGTCTGTAAAATGTGGGAGCCTCGATGTCTCACAACCCTATGGGCCTCCGCTGCCTGTTAGCTGCAGCTAGCACCCTGTTGTTCTACCTTCCAATTATTATCTATGAAAACCTTTTTTTCTTTTAATTTTATAATCATCTACAAACATTTAAAGTAAGAAAGCTATTTTTAATGTTTTAAAATGAGTACCAGGAATCTTCCTGGGGGTAAAGGGCAGCCAGTGCGGAAGGCTGACAACCTCACCACCATCTGTGTCTGTAAAATGTGGGAGCCTCGATGTCTCACAACCCTATGGGCCTCCGCTGCCTGTTACAGGGATAGTTTTACCTTTACCTGTATTTATGGAGGGTAATCCAAATCAGAATTTCCAAACCAAAAGCATAAGTTATACATACCTGAGCTTTTGACTAAGCCCCTCTCGTTGTAACGTAAGTAGTTGAGAAAATCACACACTGCAATTATCTGGAAGGAAATAAATAATTTTGATCATATTACATAAATATGAATTATGAGAGAGAGAATTTATTTGCATATTTGGCTTAGAAATTTCTGTAAATGTTAGGATACATATCACATTTAGATTTTAAATTTTGGAAGGCGAGTCGCAGAGAGAAAAGTTTTTATGCATATCTAAACATTGGTAATTATGTCGACAGACTTTGATCTCTTCATTATCAAATTATCTTTTCCAACTAATTTGTTTTAATTAAGGGACATATTTTTTAATGTAATCTATATGACATTAGGGGCACATGCTACAAGCTGGAAGGTCATGGGTTTTATTCCCGATGAGGTCATTAAATTTTTCAATTGACCTAATTATTCCAGCTGCACTATGGCCCTGGAGTTGACTCAGCCTCTAACAGAACTGAGTACCAGGAATCTTCCAGGGAGTAAAGGCTGACAACCTTACTGTCATCTGTGAGCCAATTGTCTAGAAAATGTGGGAGCCTCAACATTGATAATCCTATAGGCTCCATGGCCTATTACAGGTATAACCTTCCCTTTAACTTACCTGTATGACATTACAGCATGGGCCTTAATCCGTAAGTCCAGTTTCAAAAGGGTCCTCTAAGTATGACAGAATCCCTGCTTAATGTTTCTTGACTTTAGTTTCACTTCCATTTAGCAGTCAATATAATGATCCACAGTTAATTATTCCACTGTTACACTTTCTAAATTTTGCGCTTAAGTTCATCCATCAGGGAAGCCATAAGTGGATGTTACGGTAAATGTGGGGTGAAGCTACTGAAGAAGGTTTGACACTGATGGCCTGTCCTGCTTACCCGATTCCTGCAGATCTGAGAGATGCAATACCATTGCTCCTGGTCTCCCAGCCTCATCCGGTAGTGACACTGACGAGATACCTCCAGCAGAGCACACTTCCTGTTGACAGTGCACCGTTATTAATTTTTATTTGTTCAGGCTGTATGTGACTCAGGAATAGAATTCCTCTTTGACTGATCACCATAACTAATAAACCCGTTGATTGATCAAAATGACCAGTTTTCCTCATTGCAATATATTAAATATGCCTATGAAATGGTGATGATAACTTGTGACCAGAGATGGGCAACCAGCCCTAAATCTTGAATGAAACCTTCAAGGTGAAATTAACCATCATAACAGTAGAAATGTAGAAGGAACTTTTTCAAAAACTTCATAAAGATATCCTAATTTCAAACAAATTTAGGTCAGTAATTAATTACTAAGCTTATAGATGTGTTTTGTGTTCCCACTATGGTCTGCTGTGAATGTCTTAGTGTAGTGATTGATGTTCCTGACTGGCTTTTCATGGGCTTCCCAGATTTCTGCATGTACGATGGGGTACCCAAAAGAAACCAAACTAATTTTTTTGTGGGCAGAGCTTTTGTAGTACTGCGTTTTGCCGCTATGAGCGCATAGAGCTAACATTCCTGAGTCGATAAGCTGACTACCGTTGCTTCAGAAGGTAAGGACTAGTTTCAGCAGAGTTTATAGTGACAACTGTTTTGTGTGATCGTCGTTTTTGCAATGGCTGATTTTCGTGAACAGCGTGCGGCGGTGAAATTCTGCTTTTTGCTCGGGAAAAGTGGAGCAGAAACTCTTGAAATGTTAAAAACGGCGTACAAGGATGATGCTATGGGGAAAACTCAAGTGTTTGAGTGGTTTTCCCGTTTCAAAAATGGTGAAATGTCAATTGATGACAAACCTCGTTCTGGTCGTCCTTCCACGGCCCGAACACATGAAAATGTTGAAAAAATTCGTGAAATCATCAAGGAAGATCGACGACGGACCATTGAAGAAATTGTGGAGCTGTGAGGAGTGACTTGGAGCTCAGTTCAGCGAATTTTGACAGAAGATTTGGGAATGAAAAGGGTGGCTGCGAAATTCGTGCCACGACTGCTGACTGCTGAACAAAAACAAGGTCGCGTGGAAGCATGTTGTGCTTTGAAAGAAGAGTCCCGAAATGATCAAAACTTTTTTTTGTTTCCTCGAATGAAAAGAGACATTAAAGGAAAGCGTTTTGCTGATGTTGCTGAGGTGAAGGAAAAAACGACGGAGGCGCTGACAAGCATCTCAAAAGATGAATTTAGACAATGTTTTGAAAAATGGAATAAAAGACTAGACAAGTGTATTAGTGTAAGTGGAGAGTACTTTGAAGGGGATTGAAGGTTTGTGCTTAAAATTTGAATAAATAAGTTTAAAAAAAAATAAGTTCGGTTTCTTTTGGGTACCCCCTCATAAAGCAGGGAAGTATGCTAAAATAGTGTGTGACTCTCTCCTCTTTCACCTTTATCACTTGCTATTATTCATAATAGTTCTGCTGTTTCTTATCAGTACTATACAACCTTTGCAGCTGACATAGCGTTGTCAAATAAATGAATGAACAATAAAATAATTATGGCCTGAGTACTTCTAGAATTTCTTTAACACTGTACAACACCATGACATACAAGAGGAAGAAAACTAATGGAACAGGACAGGTGGTGTGCTAGCTTGGAACACGATACTTGCTTCGGGAAAACTGTCTTCGTCTTGTCGCTGACAGCCTCTATGTAGATGTTGCCTCTCTCAATGGCATCCTGTACTCTAGCCCCCAGCTCCTTGTTGTTAAAGTTGAGGCACAGGTTTATGTCCTCGTCATACACCCGTGCAATGAATGCATCTGATTTATCCACACAAGGACACTGTTTCCATGCCATAAACTCCTTGTGCACATTAGGGTCAACCTGTTGCACATGACATCATTACAATCAAGATCTTATCTTGCACTGATTTACTGTCCGATATAGTGAACAGGTTAACACAATGGTAACATACGTGACTTGTATTCTGTTACTCTTCCATCTCTCAACTGCATGTTGCATGTGCCACCTATGTTATCATTCCTTCATTTAATCATCCAAAATATTTATTGCAGAGCACAAATGATAGAACTGTAAATTTAAATAATTATAAACTAAACTATTATTTTCTTCCAGTTTTGTATGGTTATGAGGGATGATCTGTCCTTAAAGAACTATGATTATTTGGAACCACTGTGCTAGAGAACATATCCATGAAGAGTTATCCATTTTGGGAATTGGAAAAAATTATGTAACACAATTATTTATACTTATTTTTCTATTTGTTATGTTATGGTATTGTCCTTGTCCAACTTGGACAAGACTAATGGACAGCTTAATAGGCACTTTTGTATCTTCATAAGTTATGCCTGAAGATCTACTTCCTAACAACGGCACTGAATTGGATTTGAGTAAGTTGTGTGAATCTTCTCACGCTCTGACTGTACCACTTAATGGAAACTTAAGACAGACTGGCCACCTAACTGGCCCTAAATTTCTGTCTTGTCCTACTTTGTAGCAGTAATTGCTGTTCAAACACCAGAATCCTGAGCTTAGAACTACTGAACTGGTAACTCTGTTGATGAATATTTATTGTCTAAACACGATTCATCCATGTAAAGGTTTTGTAAAGTTGACAATATTGATGTATATATGTGGATGTATTTTTGAGTAGTCTCATGTGAAACCACTGTGTTTTCTTGTGTGAAAACTTCAGTTGTACTATATATATATATATATGTGTGTGTGTTTTTTTATTATTATTATTTTTTATATGACATATTCCAAATCCTACAGTCGTTTTGACTAACTTGGGAACAAGGGAATGCAATGCAATGTAATGTAGGAAGAAAAATTAATTTTGTTGCTTAATTTAAAGTTCTTTTCTAGAATAACATGTTTTAAATTAAATAACCATGGAGTGTAGAAGCTTCATTTGCTGCCAGGTATAAAAGTAAAGTAAAGGTATCCCTGTAACAGGCTGTGGAGGCCCATAGGGTTGTGAGATGTTGAGGTTCCCACATTTTCTAGACAATCGGCTCATAGATGGCAGCAAGGTTGTCACCCATACATGCTGGCCGCCCTTTACCCCCAAGAATATTCCTGGTACTCATTTCTGTTAGAGGCTGAGTCGACCCCAGGGTCATAGTGCAGCTGGAAGGATTAGATCAATTGAAAAAATCCAATGACCTCATCAGGACTTGAACCTGCGACCTTCCGGCTTGTAGCATAGTGCTTCAGCCAACTACACTACTGCATGCAGTGAAGCTAATTGCTACATATACATAAACTGACGTCACACACAGAGAAATCTGTCAACTGGAAAGATGTCCACTGAGAATCTGTATGTTAATTCTTATTAGTGATGGTTACCTATCTCATGAAGTACACTCACCTCACATCCTTCTTTGTTATCAAGAGATTCTGGCATTGGAGGCCTCTGTTCTTTAACTGGTGACTCGGGAGGGGAGTTCTCTCGGCCATACTTGAGGTTGAAATGAGATGGTGATCGCCGATGCTTTCTGATGAACAAACCAACTCCTGCAACACCATATTTCGTTGAATCAGGAAACTTGATTTTCCAGTTTCTTTCAGTCTTACTTGTGCAATTATTAATATTTTGTTATACAAAGTTTCAGCCTTTTAAACTATATATAACTTGTACATGCTTTGATTTGTATCATCTTTCTGTCTGCCAGACTGTCATAAATTGAGTCTTTTTGGGTTTCTATAAATAAATATAAGTCAAGTTCATAGGGCATAATTTGTCACAATTGAAAAGGCTTTTTCCATTAGTAATATTCCCACTTCCACCAGCTGATATTTTGGCTGGAATAATTCAGAGAGATGATCTTCAGTCTCACAGAATAACCAAAGGCACCATTTGATAAGCTTTTCTTTCATAAAAATCAGAAACATTGGCTTATGAAGATCAGAACAGAGCAGAAATTAATAAATTATGGAAGGATTTAGAAATATACAATAATAAGCTTGTTTATGCATTTAGCTGCATAAAATAAAAGTAGTTTTAAATTCTCCTCACAGATGGTGGTGGTATTTGGTTTTTGGCTGTATCTTAGAGTTGCTCATGCATATTTTGGTGGCAGTGAAATATCTGCTTCATCCAATGTGGATTTTTTTAAGAAATAATGCCAGCCTTGGAATATTTTTCTGTACCCAAAATCCTCAGCCTTAGTGGGTTAGTTTCATTACATCTTGTCTTTACAGTGCCACACAATATCTTTATGTTATTCAGTTGGTTGGTCCATGTATTGTCACAGTCTTCTGCTAGCACATTTGCTTATTAACAATACCAGAATGTGAAGAAACGATCAAAGGGAACAAAGTAAACTTGCTATAGCAAATCCCTTACAGTCAGAAGCTGGCCTTTGCTTTAACAGTCATAATCCTCTCTACAATCTGATTGTGAAGTGATTTTACCTGACACTGTAGAATCATCCTTGGGTCTGTTACTTTGAGGGTCAATCTGAGGGTGCAAGTGGGGATTAGGGCGGCTGGGGGTAGAAGTAAGTACCAGAGTCTTGAGAGCTGCCACCTCTGCAGTGAGTACCTCAACCTTCATTTGGCTTTCTTTCAGGGCGCGTTCTGCTGTAGCTTGTCGCACGTTGGCTTCACGCACCATGTTGTGAGCCTCCTGCAAACAGTATGCAGTAATTAGGGCAGATCACCTTAGACATTCTTAGCACCCATAGTCAACATACTGTGGCAGTTGAACACATGGATGCAGCCGCTGCTAAGCAACAGCACTGTAAACATGTTTCTGCGGAAACAGACACTGACACAACAATACAGGATGCACTGTTTTGATTCCTTTACTACCCAAATATTGTTTTTAACAAAATCATTACCTTATAAAGAAGTATATCCAAAAATTAATAGATCAGCCTGTGTAATTTGCAGTACTTCTAGCTCATACATTACTCTCCTGTGAGCTAAAATTCTTAAAAACTTATACCAGGAAATGAAGAAAAACACATTTCAATGTCAACTCAGATAATCTGTTATACATAGGTGAAATATGACCATTGACTGAATATTTAGTGAAAGTGATTATCTGAGATGTTTTTAGATGGCAAAGGGAAACAGAAGTGAATCATTATGGATAAAATTAAAGTTTTTTTTATTGCTGGTGGGTGGGACTAAGTCCCTTGTACTGTGGCCACTTCTGGCCTATTGTACCAGCCCCAGATGATAGGTGAGGGTGATTGTGGAGCAATTGGTGGAATGAAGATTGGCAGGGGAAACCAAAGTACTCAGAGACAACCTGCCCTAGTGCCACTTATTCCACCACAAATCCCACTTGGCCAGACCCAGGATCGAATCTGGGCCGCCATGGTGGGAAGCCAGCAACTAACCGCTTGAGCTATGGTACGGCCTCAAATGAAAGTTACTTCAGCAGTTACAGGAATCCTAGATAATAGAACACTGAGATGATGTGGCCATATTGCATGAAAGCGGAAAGATTACTAGAAAGTATGTTGTACTGGTCATGACAGGGGACAAGTAGAATGGGAGGCAGAAACCATGCTGGACAGTGTAGACTGGAAGATGGAAAAACCGCAAAGGATAATGCCAAGGAGAAGGGTAGGAACTTCTTTGTAATGCTGGATTTATGTCATCAGTGTCTGATGAAAATTCTGTTATCCTTTCATAACTGAATCTGTTCTTAGGATTACTGGGTTTAAGGACCTCATCTAGCATTCCTAAGAGATAACTGTGTTTCAGAAACTGGATCTGTATCTGTCCTCAGGTGAAAAGTTTGGGAGACGCGTACTCTGTTGGGTCTCTTGGTATTAATTTGTCAGTGGCCCCAGGAACTGAGGTAGTTTCATTCACTGCACTTGGTGAGGATGGGCCAGTTATATACTGTGACATGTAGACCCATTGCTACACAACAACCCATAAACAGCAACAGGGGAATGGTGTTTTCTGTGTGGTCTGTGCTGAGGCTGTATAATAAGAGGAATTCTTGAGACAGCAATTAGACTAGGAGGAGGTTGGTGTGAGATGGCTGCCAACCTGTGAGGACATGAGCTTGGGAGCAAGGGAATATCCACTGGTGAAGACACAGCAGTCTGAGAAGACTTAAGTGTGTGAATTAGCAATAGCGCTATAAGTACTTATAGTTAAATCAGTATATGTTCAGTAAATCCAATTACCAGTCCAAACGCTGTCTACAGTTACTTCCTATACATGACAATATCTTCATTACCAACTGACTGGGATACATGCCCCTATATATGAGTACCTTAGCATGGAGGTTAACTTCCACTCATTCTTAACCTTGGAACTAGGTGGAAATGGCAAGCTTCATACCTGACCACTTTACCCCTGTGGAAAGAGCCCTTTGCTTTGCTTAATTAAGCACCACACTGTGAAAACATATGGGGAAGTGGAGGTATAGCTCTACCTGTCTTGACCTCAGCACTAGCTGGAGGTGAATGGTCAGCGTTACCCACAGGGAAAGAGACTCTGGTACCTATTGGATAGGCTGGATGGGCTCCAGAGCCGGTCTGGACACTGGAACAGAAAAATCTCTTGCCCCTGCTGGGTATCGAACCCTAGCCATCCAGCTTGTAGCCTGTCCCTATACCAACTAAGCTATCCAGCCTGAAGAGCTCTCAGTACCCCCTTCTTATTCCTCATGGTGACCATTACAACCTAGTTTTTCATAATCTTTCCTCCTCCATTCATTGGATGAAAGTGTTAAGTGGCCTCAAAGGCATTCTCAGATAGTGAGGAACAACTCTGGTTGCTCAGTAGAAAGACAGTTTACTGACTTGTGTTAAATCATAATGTATTTAAGATAGAGAGTGCTGGTGAAGAAGTCAGACATACTCTCTGTCCCATGTTTCACTATTCAGGAACATGGTGGCCATGGATTATTCTTGCAGATGGTGTATATCTGCAGTAAGTCTGTTTTCCACAGTGTGCACTATCTGGATCCAGCAGTATGGTCCTCTCACCTGAAACAGACTGGCAGTGAGCTCTTCAAGTTCTGCTTCCACCTCCTCCCGAACACGACTTAGTCGATTCACCTCCTCATCCCTGAGTCTCAGCTCTTGGTGAGCTTTGTTGAGTTCTTCCTGGAGGCGAGCAAAAGCCTGTTCTTTAACACCCGCCACTGTGCGGCCCCAGTCAGCTGCCAGGTGGTCTTCACCCTCATCCTGCTGTCTCCTACAAGAGTACTGCTCTTTACCACCACCATCATGTATCAGCGCCCCATTACAGCACAGAGCAGGGCTCTCAGTCACATCTCCATTTGTCCTTAGATAATCCTCTTCTGTCCCCCTAGTACAGCTGCCATTCAGACTGCAGAACAATGCAAACATTATTTCAGAATATTTTCTCAGAAAACAAGGAAGGAGGACATGCTTCTGAGGTTTCATTATGCAGTTAACCAGCCCCAGTATATGTACTGAAGGGAGGACTCATAATAAAGCTGAGGAATGACCTGAAGTGGGACAAATGAGATTCCTAAAAAAGTAAGTGAAGAACAAGACAAGCGTATGGTTTCTTGCTTGGTTTTTTCTTCAGCACTGAAGATGTAGGTGGTGTGTTCCTTTGAAATGCTCATTGTCTTTCAACAGACTATATGGCATTATATCCCAGAGGGTAGAACTCTTCATAACCACTGTTGTGAGAACCTCAACTCCCGCATAGCATGATCTACAAATTGGGAAGACTGTCAGAAATGGAAGGGACATGTTCAGCTGATGCCAGCAGATTCCCCCCCTAGAGGCTTCTATAGGCCAAGGATAATATGGAAGGACCAGTAGTGTGAATATAAGGAGAATATTCTGTTACTGATGTACACACAATGCATGATATACATTTTTCACAGGACAGTTATGCTCTTCCAAAATTATGTTAGAAGGCATGTCATACATCAGTATGAATCCTTGTAGAAGAATACCTCAAGATGTTTTATGCAGTGTGCTATACGTTGAATTCCATGATGATCCTTCTATGAAAGACCGGGAAACAGACATTAATTTTTGTTGTTTCTAAGTAAATAATTGACAGTTCTTTCAAGCAGATTACTAGATTATGGGCAGAGAGGCTTAGACGTATTTCTTTAATCTGTACATGTATGTTTAACATTGCTGTGTCATCAGTGCAGGATAACAGTGAATGATAAACTGTAAATAATTCTGAAGAGGTGAACATTCCTGTTTTGGATTATTATCTGAACATCTGCCTTGGAAAAACATATGAGAATCTCAAGAAAGGAATCTCTACCATATCAGATGGTTTTGGGACCAGATCTGAATCCAGGGCTGTCAGATTAACCTAAACAAGAGTGTTAATCGCTGAACTATATTGCACCCAAAAGTAGCTTTTTGCACATTCTGCAGTTATTATATCAAGGAATAGTGATGGAATGGCCTTGTAGCACATGTGGAATACACACACACTCTGATGCAGTGAAAGTAATTTACCTTCAAAATGTTCATACAGATTATTTCATTTGGTTTTGTTATTAAAACATACCGAAATGCATTTCCTCTTGCACCAAATTCATTTTGGAATCTTCAGATTCCAGCACTCTGCTTTTTTAAGGTTTATTTTGTACATTCGCCTTTAGTTTAATGAAAATGAACAAAATTGATGACATATGCAACTGTACATTCTGTCTTACAATATAAATAAAGGAAAGTAATTGTGACAAGTTTGAAAAGAATCAGGGCTGTATGGTTGCTGTACAGAAAATTTGAATTAACTGTGACATTTATCATGTTCAGTGATGAAGAAATTTCAAATAACTGGCAAAATTCTACTGACATTGCAGTGTACTGGCTTTTGAAAGATTTATCAGAATTATCAAAACATGGGAAATATACTTTGCTCTCACTAAGATAGTTATTCTATAAATTTGTCCTAATTTTCTTTGCAGTTTAGGAAAATATGTTCTTTGAAGGCCTTCACATCTTTCCTGTTTGAATGTCTAGCATTTTCATGGAACATTTCTATCCGTTTTATACAGTGATACATGAAAGTTATGTTCTAACTGAAGTTACAGCATAGACAGGAGATTTATGAGCTTTTTGCAAACAAACAAACAAACAAACAAACTTGACATGTACATCTAATTTGATGTTACTAAATACCTGGGTGCTTTGCTGGCAGTGGAATCAGTCTTGTCTTGTAGTTTCTTGGGTGCTGAATGATTGCTGTCTCCATTAGTCACTATGAAATCACCATGAGGATCCTCCACTTTCAATGACTTTGAGATCCCGTTAAAAATCGTTTTACCAGGCCTATCACCATGATAGGTCTCCTTATTTCCATTTGTCAACGTAACAGTTTTCGTGAGACGACCATGATTCTGTTGTTGCTGGTTTGCTTCACCGACTTCTCCTTCAACCTCTTTGTCAGTGGTGATGATGTCGCCCTGCTGTGGCAAGGGTAGACCACTCTCTGGCTTTATGGCCTCTGTCGTCATGGGGTCCACATTTGTTGTTACCTTCATGGTGTCCCTCGAAATCCAGATTGCATTGTTTGGTGGTACCAGCTCGTAAGCATAGCTGCCAGCAGAACCTACAAATAAATGAAAACAAAACATAAGGACCTCTTAATCTCTGAATCAGTCCCACCATATTTCATTAGGTGTGATGTTTTTCTGCAGCAGTGCTGTGAATAGCCTTTCGTTTTGTCTCATTTCCTATGACCTAAAAAGTTCAACATTGATTCTTCTCCAGAGTTGAGGCTTCACTTCTGTCATGATCCCGTCAGTAAGACCTACAGTTTTAACCATAGGAACTGCTAGAAAGTACCTCATTCTAAAGTGTGTCTAAAACATGTTTGAAGGTACATCATGCCTTGAGTAGACAACCTTATGGAAGAAGAGTGCTGAATGTTCAGTGAGACCTCTGGTATTATGATTTTGGTTCATATTGTATGAAAATACTCCTATAATCTAGTAACTTTCTAAGTATGATATAATGATCAGTATCACTGTCTGATGATCAAGCACTCTCAGTAATATTTTAGATACAGTATACAAGCGAGAAGAACTCCGTGGCCTGTAGTCCGCAAGTAAACTATACCGACCGAGTGACCACCGCTTGTCAGCGAAGTTAGTGCCAACTTTAGCGAATAGAGGGTGTCGCGTGGTCAGCCCAACAGATCCCCATGGTCGTTAATCTCGGTTTCCTAGACCGGATCCGCCATTTCCTTGAAATAGCTCCTCAGTTATACTCACGAGACTGAGTGGACCCCGTTCCCGATCCACTGCCTCTCAGAAAATGTGGTAGCGCCGGGAATCGAACCCGGGACCCCTGGATCTGTAGCCAGGAACTCTGACTACTAGACCACAGAGGCGGTCCTAGATACTGTATAGAATGACTTGTAAAATTGCCTTTGAAATGTGTACTCTCTCAGAAGAAATCTACATTTTAAAATATAAAATTATTTTCCAAACATAAAAACCATACAAGTATTATGTTTTCTGGACATTATCCATCGTCCTGTCTTCATCTAAAAAACGCCATCCTGTTTATTTTTCAAAACACGACGATTCAGAGACTGGATTCTGTCTCCGTCTTCAAATGGAGCCTACTCAGTTAGGCTAGTCCCAATCTTCGGACCTGTTTCTAAGTGGTGACTGTAAACAGCGGCCTTTACTAGGTAACGCGCGCAAGATATAGAATGGGGTTATGCGACCTGTTTCTAAGCAACGGCTCGGCAAACATGTTACCATGGAAGCGAACACGTGCAACAATATAAAAACGGTGTTCTCTATGCAGTCCGTGCCGAGGATTTAAAAAGAAGGCAATTGGGGCATTCTTTCTGTTCACACAAATGATGGCATCGATAACGTTTCTAGCGGAAACCCGTTTGGGCTAGTTCATACTCGCACGAAGGGAGTACAACAAAAGACAGAAAATGGGCAAGCGTAAAGCGTTGTCTTTCATATTCAATTTACGAATTGCTGCAAGTGGTTAGTCCACTCTGAAGTATCAAGGCATTGCAGCATATGATTTTTAGCCTACTTTCCTTATTTTGGAAAAAAAATGAAAGATCTTCATGCTATCGTTGTGTCTGCGAATCCCTCCCTATTAACTTTTTAATGCCTAAATCAATCTTTATGAAACTTAGTGCTTTAGCCTATCTCAATGGCGTACTTCATAGTTCCCTCCAATCTGTATGTGTCTATATGTTTAGCCGTCCTATTTTTGCTAGGCAAAGGCTAGGTAAAGTGTATTCCTCCTTTCATTGCTAGGCAACGGCTCAGTAAACAACATTGCCGCGGAAACGAATACACGCAACAATAGAAGAAATGTCGAACGCGTATGCCTGTGGGTCTGCCCATGTATCCCATTAATGTTGCTAGGTAACAACTCGGTAAAGACGTTCCCGCGGGGAAGAAAAGTTGTCGGAAGCGTCGTTTTTTATGCGGTCCTTGTTGTATCAAAGGGAAAAAGGCGGTCAGTCTTTCTCAGAACTTCTTGTTCTTACTGACGTCCGATTAAAGATGTAAGCGTTACAGGGAAGAAGTCACATTTACAAATGGACATATCTCGTTCGTAACATCTATAATGTTAATATACCTGTCCCTACTGGCCACAAAATTATTCATTGAGGCGTATTACGGCGTGAAGGTATGCCTCCACGATTTATCAGAACTTGCAACTAGATGGAGATGTTGGTTTGGCGTCAGTAGGCCTATTCGAGTTGCTGTTTCGAAACAGGCCTCTCCTGAGTACGCAGCTAGAATCTAGTGGGATACCTGTTATTTCGATGGTGATGTCCGTGGTTCTGCCCACTTCCTTCAATAGCTCTTTTAAATCGATACCAAGTATCATCTGTGAATCCATTACATTCACAGTTGCCGCCCCAGTCATTCTGGATGTCGGTCCTTCATTCTGTAGTGTGTCACTCATTCATCTGGATAATCTATTAGAATAAACTTGCTCCCAAAGAACTGACACTTAATCGTGAAGGTAGGCAATAATTTCTGGCAAGAGGTAATCGCCTAATTTCCTTGGATACGACACGCATCGCATAGAAACGAAGCGTTCAACGATTCTTCTGCTGTTTCGTATGTATTCGTTTCCGCGGGAACGTATTTACTGAGCCGTGACCTAGCAACGGTACGGCGGGTACACGGAAACAGAGCAATGTGATCTCGTATGCACACTTTTGTTTTTAAAATAGGGAAAGTAGAAAATAATTTTTGGACTTGCCTGCGCATACACAAAAATGTAAAGGCCGTTACCTAGCATTGGAAGTATTGTGATTAACACTCACAAGACAACGGCGGTAACCATAGTACTGCCAATGCTAGGTAACGGCCTTTACATTTTTGTGTATGCGTAGGCAAATCTAGTTTTTTATTATTACTGAGATATGTTTCAGCACTTTTTATTAAAATTAATGTAGATAAGATAAAAGATACTTTTCTCGTATGCTTAGACCCCCTGAGGCGTATCTTACACTGACTGGATCGTGTAAAATATCGCCAAGAGGATCACATGGAGACTGCACACATAAATGACTGAAGCCAAGGCTTTCAGAACTTTTATTAGAATCTACAACCTGTTCAAAAGGCGGAATAGCGTAATCGATATAGCGAGTGGCTACGGGTTGGACGTCTGAGGGGTTGAGGTTCGAGACCTGGTAAGGTCAAGAATTTTCTCCACGTCCTACAGGCCGGCTCTGGGGCCCACCCAACCTCCTATCCAATGGGTACCGGGGCGTGAAGCTGACCACTCACCCCCAGCTAGTGCCGAGGTCAAGAAAATGTGGATCTATACATTCACTCCTCCATACGCCTTCATGGCGTAGTCTTTAATTAGTTAAGCACAGGGACAACTTTACCTTACCTTACTCCGTATTCAAAAATGAGCATTAAATGCAAACATAAACTATCCCTCCACGGTTGTCCCCCCTGGGAACCAGCGGCAGCACTTACTCATACCTCTCAAATTGCAGCGCATGCAAAACGAGGTTCGGCGGACCGTTGGAAATTTTCCAAGGTGCACACTGGTCCGCGATTTCCACACGCCTTTCACCCTTCCGTATATATACGATAATGTCACATGTTTAGGGGTGCGTGACTTACAGACGGGGCTTAGATTGATGACAGGATTTTATTGCACACTACACAGTCAACTCATAACTACAATACAGCGCTATCGCTGATCTACACACTTTACAGTTCACCGTTACACACACTAGTGTCCTCAGTCTATTATCATCTCCACTGTCCGTTTCCTAGCAACGACTTTAACATAGTAATTGTACCAGTCTCACTGTAACTGCAGCACACACGAAGTCTTCTTTGCACAGCCTAATTCCTTTCTTCTCACTCATCGACTGCCATCTCACGAGCCTCCCTCAATTCTAATTCTAGCAAAGTCAGTCAGAGTTATTTTTCGACTGGCGGTTTGCCGCCCATAGGGTTGTGAGACGTTGAGGGTCTCACATTATCTATACAATAGGCTCAAAGATGGCGGTAAGGTTGTCAGCCTTACGCGCCGGCCGCGCTTTACTCCCCAGGAAAATTATTTAATCAATTCCTGGTACTGTTAGAGGCTGAGTCGACCCCAGGGCCATAGTGCGGCTGGAAGGATTATGTCAATTTAAAAAAAAATCTAATGATCTCATCGGCACTTGAACCCGCGACCTTCCGGCTTCTAGCACAGTGCCTCAACCACGGCCTGTTACAGGGATAGCATTACTTTTTTTTGGCACTTGTTTACTGGCGGTTTGCCGCCAATCAGTTCGTGTTGGCACCAGGTCCCTTGAGACTCACGACCAGAATTTTTTTCCAACTGGACTCTTGCGGCAATAGTCCTTATGTAACATCCTCTCTAATGAGAAGATTGGTTTGTCTTCTACGAATATGCCTGGTTTTCGTCAAGCGTATATCTAATTCTAGATGGCCTGTAATCCTCGTTATATAGCTTCGGGTCGGTCCCAACAGAAAACACTTGTTTTCTGACAATTCTTTTATTTTTATAGAGGTATGTTTATCTCGCCGTTGCATAGAAACGGCAGCTCTTCTATTGTTGCTTGCATATTCGTTGACTCGGAAATGTGTTTACCGAGTCGTCTAGCAATAGACGTCTGCTGTTTTTTTTTTTCGCATAACCGGGATAGCTCAGTTGCTATAGCAAATAAGCTACAGGCTGGACGGCCGAGAAGTGGGGGTTCGATTTCCGGCAGGGGTAAGACATTCTCCATAAAGTCACGACCAGCTCTGGGGCCCACCCGGCCTCCTATACAATAAGTATGGAGGGCTGTTTGCAGGGCCATGAAGCTGACTACATCTAGTGTCGAGGTTAAGAGCGGTGGAGCTATACCTGTATTCCCCCATACGACTTCATGACGTGGCGCTTAATTAATTAAACCCAGGGATGACTTCGCCTTGTCGGTCGTTTTGCGACGAACCATTTTGAGGAACTGTATAAAATTCTGTCTGAGCTGCAGGTGAAGGTCCCGGCGTACTATACCGAAGTAATACTAAAATTATGATAACAAATTTCTGTTTTCAATTGAGATCAAGATGAAACGTGCGGACAGACATTATACGT